TACTTCAAAATTTCTCTAAAAAATTCTCTTCTGCGAATTTTCTAAAAAATTCTTATTTCCTAATTCGATTTGTGGAATTCGTTATTCTATTTAATTCGTTCTATCCTGAAAGACGATCGGTGACGGACCGAATTTGATTTAATGAAATCGTGTCTACACAAGTTTCAGATTCGATTTTGTATTTAATATTCAATATCAATATTATCAGATCTATAGTTTCTAATTCCGTCATATTTCAGATTTGTCATATAGGTCTATTATTGGTAACATCGATGGCTGCATTATGGACCCCACCAATAATATCTTTTTGTTGTCGCTTTGTTTGATTGGTCCCACTCTCCTTGACGTTAGGATGATTTTCAATCTTCCAAACGTGAAAGAAGATCCAATAACGGGAGGGGGGACAATTATCTCAATCGAACCTTTAAAAAACCACCTAGGCTACACTCGGACAGCAAAATATACAACCTTCATTTGTTTCCTTTATTGGCTTGTTCACAAATATAATATATACATCTATAGTAGACCATTATTGCACACTTTTTAATATATATTTCAATATTGTATTTATCTACAAATATGTCATCATTATTTATACATTCAGGTTATTTTATTAATTCATTCATATACTTTTAAAAATACAATTACTTTATATTAGAATCAACTAATATCATAATATATTCATTAAAACTTGTGTCCAACTAAAAATATATAATATATATGTACAAACTAATATAATATATATATAATGGGGAATGTGTTATAGCAAATTATAGGGGTGTCAATTCGTGTTTTCGGATCATGTTTGTGTCGGATTGAGCCATGGGGTAACAAAAAATTGTCAATCCGATCCCGAAATCCTAGACCTAAACACGACACAATTCTTTCAGGTCAAGTTCAGGTAGACCTTATTTAGTTCTAGATCACCCAAAGCCTGAACAAACCCGACACGAAACAAACCTGAAAACCCTTAAGAAATTAAAACAACCTAAAACAATTCCTTTTTATTTTAATTTTTATATTATTTTATATTTAAAATATTATAAATTAAAAGGAATGTGCACATTGTTGACAAGGAGTTGGTCCGGTGCTAGGTCAACTTCCACGGATGAGCCGATGCCAGACCATCCAAGAGTGAATAGTAATTAAATGGATTAAATAGATTACTCATGTCAATAATGTGCATATTTCTTTTCAGAAGCCCTACTAAAAGAACTTTAGAGTTAAACGTGTTTGCTCTAGAGTAATTTAAGGATTAAAGTGCGCGTGAGTGAGGGGCCAAATGGGTGATCCTTGGGAAGTCTTCCAAGATGCGCGTGAGTAAGGACGGAATCACAATAATTTTCTTAAGCTTAACAAGTGAGGAATTTTATGCATTGAGAGTTTAATTAGTTTAAAGCTCCATTATAAAAGAAAATGAACATGCATATTATGTTTATTGTTTTATGCATCAACCTTAATTACTTATTGTTTCTAGTGTCAGTCAAAATGAACTCGTAAGCAATTTATGTGAATACTCTCTATGATTGTAATATTGTTGGAGCTGCGTGTAAAAGAACAAATGAATTAAGATCGCGCCAATTTGATGATTTTGCAAGATATGTAGAATTAAGTTATATTGCTATAAGAAAGGGAAATAATCAATAAATGAGTTTAGCTCGACTTGGTAATACTCGTTGGGATTTTTATTTTAAAACAATCACTCGACTTTTTAATTTGTGGAATCTAGTGAAAAAATTGATTAAAATTATAGTTACAAATAGCACTTATGTGAAAAAACTGACTTTTAGTGGGATTTTGTGACAAGATGAAAAATTTTGAATTTATGTTTGTAAATCAATTTATGAAGATCTATTAAGAAAAACAAATGTATTGTCACAAACTCTTCAATAAAAGAATCAGAATATATATTTTATTGTACAATTGACTGCAATTTTGAAAGATGAATTGCAATATTAGAAGTAGTTAGAAATAAATTTTTGAAGAAGTAATTAAGTTTTGTTCAGATTATGAAATTATTGTCCTCAATATGAATAATATCAACATCGAACGATTGATAATACTTGTTGATACTTAAAGAAAAATACATATTCATTATTTTTGAGTGGATATTTTTATAAATGTATTTATTCTTCTTAATTTATGGTGAAAATCATTTGAGCATTAGTTTATATTATGAAACATTAATTTTTATTTTTTTTTTACAATGTTAGTGATTGATATCATTTCTCAAAAAATAAATTATTGATTTACTGAATCAAACTAAGACATGTTTTTTTTGTTTTTTTTTATTTTTTATAGGAATAGCATGTCTTAATCTTATAAATTTGTTTGCCACTTTTAATCAAGAATAGATTGTTCTTCTTGTTGAATTATATTCAAAAGATTTTTCTATGTTTTTTCTATCATATTTAAAATTACAATTTCAAACGTTCCTTGGTTATGTGAGATCGGAACTAATTTTTATTGGCCTTTGTCATATTGAAAATTTTGCACAAAAGATGATTCAAATGAATTGTAAAACTAATTTTTATTTGATTTAATGATTAATCGAGTTAGCATTGATTACATGTTATGATAGTTACATTTGAAAGATCTTTTTTCGGCAATTAAAATGATGAATAATGATTTGTGGAATACAATGTGAGATGAATATCTAACCGACCGTCTAACGTGTTACATTGCCAAAAACATTTTCGCCACTATTAAACCTAAAACTATATTGCAATGGTTTCAAAATATAACTACTCGAAAAATACAACTATCGCGACATCATTAAGGTAAATAATAATAAAAAATGAATTATATATATTTTTTTTGTTTAATTGTCTAAATAATATTTTATTTTGGTTCAAGGGCAATAGCTGTATTTAAATATTATTTTGACTGGGGTTGGAATCTCGGTTGAATTATTATATTTTTTTGTTTGTCTTTAAAGCGACAATATTGTTTATACATATTTGGTTAAAAATAATTATTTTGTAAGCATAACACTCTATTCGGAAGTGATTGAAGTAATTTATTTTTATAAATGTATTAAAGTCCTTTTTTTTTTTTTGTGTGCGTGTAAAAAACTTTTGTTTTTCATTTTTTTTTTATAATTTTTAATATATATTCATTTTTTTTGTTTTTGTTTTTATTTTTTTTAAACATATTTCATATACTTTATTTTCTAGTTTTAACTTTTAATTTTTTTTATAATTATTTATTTTAGTTCTTTGTACATCCAACGGAATAGTTCTAACTTTGCCAACCGTTTACATAGACAACACTAAGAGAGGTGTACAGGACTCTTAACATAGGTGTATTCAATTCAGATTTTAAATTTTAGTATATTCAATAAAGACTTTTAAGTTATGGGTGTCAATTCAAATTCTAAAAAATCTTTTAAAATTTTAGTGTATTCAACAATCCATTAACTTTAAAAATCTATGAATTTTGTTGAATTATTTAATAAAATTGTTAACAAATTACACTATATAGAATCTCTTATTATAATGTGAGATTTCAATAGATTCTCAAATTTAGTAAAAAAGTACATATTATTTTATTTATAGCATTAATAACTATTTATTATTTTATATGTATTTATTATTTTATTATAATAATATCAATAAATAAGAAAATTTAAATGTTTAATATAAAAATTACAAATATTTTAAAGTTTTATATATTTGAAATAATATTAAAAATTATATATATATAAAATAACAAGTAAACTTGCTCAAATAGTTCGAATTAAAATTATCAGTTTTAATGTTTGGAAATGTCAAATCAAAATAAATTTTTCATAATTTTAATTTATATTTCTTATTTCGATTCCAGTTCTGTCGGCTCAAAAATCATCGAATATATTTGACAATGTTAGTTTATGTTTATTCCTTTTTAATTATTTTATTTTTATTTTTAATTAATAAAAAATGTATTTTAATGTGATTTTATTTATAAATATATATTTTTTAATAAAAATATTTAATCCACAAATTTATAAACTCTAATGAAGTATAGGAAAATTAATAAATAATCCAATCAAATCTATCAAAATACATATAAATCAATAAACAAAATCAATCTAACTCTGCATAGACTTTATAAAATTTATAAATCCACTCAAGTCTACGTACTTTTCAAAATCCAAACAAATCAATTAAAATCCTAAATGAATACATCTCCTAATAATTAAGCACTTTTGTTAAGATTATAATTTTAATTATATATCTAAAAATACAAAGAAATCCCAATAAATTGTTTTGGTCTATATATATATATATATATATTTCTAACTATTCCTTAATTATTTTAAAAAATATATTATTTATTATAAAATATTCCTTCAACTTATTAATTAAATAAAAAAAATAGAGAAGAATACACGCATGGTTTATTAAAGATCGAAATTTTTTGTAAATAACCACCGCTACAATGACCGGCGAGGAGAGCGAATATTTGGCCGGCAAAGCTATCGGCGCACGTTAGGGATGGAATCATTTCAAATTCTCCCAAACATACATCCCTCTGTGGGGCCCATCATGCACACGCTTCTAAGCAACCAGTTCAAAATAACTCTAACCCCTTCTATTTCTTCAAATATGAAAAAGCACCCACAAATTTATGCAGACGTTTGCTTGTTTTGAAAATAAGGGTGTGTTTGTTTGGGGGTTTGGATTTTGAGTTGGGATTTGAATAATAAAAATTTTGAATTTGAATAGTTGTATGATATGATATAAATAGGTGTTGATGTGATGTTTTGAATGTAAAATTGATTTTTAGTATAATATAAAAAATGAAAAATAAGTGTTTGATTTAATGTTTTTGGGGGGAAAAAATTGGATGAATAGTAAAAATCTTATTAAATCCCCCAAACAAACACACCCTAAATTTATTCTCTGACTCGGCTAGGGGGTGTAATATAATATCAAGGTGAATAGGGACTATCGTGCAATTTCAAGTATTTCAAAGGCCTGATCTTTTCAAAAAACGGACTGTTAAAATTGCAAAGCTAAACGGGGGCAGGAAATCGAATCGGAAAAGGCGAACCATCCCGAGAAGCTAAGGGAGGAGCGGCGAGTGCGCGTGGAATGACGATGGACAGAGAGAAGGAGAGAGAGATTGAGCTGGAGAGTGCAATGTACACGAATTGTTTGTTGCTCGGCTTGGATCCGAGTGTAATCGGCGTCGGATCGAACAACGGCACTCCTCGGGTGGGGTTGTTCCGCCACTCCAATCCCAAATTGGGCGAACAGCTTCTGTATTTCATCTTGTCCTCCCTCCGTGGTCCAGCTCAATCAGCCAAGGCAAATTATGACTTCCTCTTTAAAAAATTTTGAAATGTGTATGATTTGATCTCACTGTTCCGTAATCCCCGAGTTCGGATCTTTTAACAGGACTTCGATAAGGTGTGGCCGATTTTCGATTCGGCCCAGTCTAGGGATTTTCGGAAGGTATGATTGTCGAATTTATTGGTTTACGTTTCTGTAAGTTTGTATTACTTTTTTGGTTGGGATATATGATTGGGTCCGTTTTTCTTCTGGGAAATTGGTAGGTCGTGCAAGGTATTATAAGTGAGCTCGAGTCGCAAGGAGCATTGCCCAGGAGTAATTCGAGGGTTTCCTCGCTGGCGACTTGCTGTGGACCGAGGTTGGTGTTGATTGATTTATGGTGTTTAGTAGTAACTAGTTGAGACTAGGGATAAAATTTGTGTGATAGGCTTAATTTGGACTTATTTTGTCATACTGATAAGAATATAACAATTTGGCACTGTATCTGGTGACTGGGTGTGACTAGCTCCATTGAAATGAAGACACTGAAAACATCAAAGAGCACTAACTAGAGCAACCATACTTAGTTAAGATCCAGGATTAGTTGAACATCTAGTTGCCAAGAATGACAGTCCACATCGGTGTAGTAATGACCCTCTATTGAGATGTACCGATGCATATGGTCTGAGCATCCAATGCAGATTCATTGGCTTGACCTATGCAACATGGATTCCACTTATGCTATTTTGTTTGTAAACAATTTTATAGGACTATAATCACATAGCATAGCTGTTTAAGAATAATTTGTTAAGCTCCAGTTTCTATTCTAAGTGGCATGGCAAAGTATCTGTTTCTGACCAAATAGGAGTGGCATCTTGTTTGCGAACAATTAATTGGATTATTTAAGCTTATGAATCTGATACTTCCTTAAATATCCAACATAAAACACATTTGAAATAATTAACTTTGCTGAAACACTTATCTTATATTTCATGCAAAATTTACTAAATATTTTCATTTTTATTCTGCAGATTTGTTGAACTCTTATGGCAGCTTTCCTTGCATGCTTTGAGGGAGGTTCACAGGCGAACATTTGCAGCTGATGTGGCATCGAATCCACTGCCTGCTCCTCTGACCGATGTTGCTTTCTCTCATGCTGCTACACTGCTTCCTGTAACTAAGGTATTTCATTTAGACATGCCACCATAAATTGGAACAACTTAATTCCACTTATATCTGATAGATATAATGTACAAGTTTGTGTTCCCCTGGCTCTTGATGCCCAGGAGACACTGAGGCATAAAAGTTGCATGTCTGTCTCTTTTCTTCATGACTGGGGAATTGTATTTTGTCGATGAAGTGGGTTCTGTTTGCATTTCTATAATGGATTGATCTGGTTTGGAAGATTTGTTTTTTTGGTTTTTACTTTCTCACAGATGTTTTATTATAACTTGTTAACATTTTCAATTTCTATATGCCACCACTCAAACTGTAAGTACTTTTTCTTGTAAACAGGCTAGAATAGCTCTGGAAAGAAGGAGGTTTCTGAAAAATGCAGAGACTGCAGTTCAAAGGCAGGCAATGTGGTCCAATTTAGCTCATGAAATGACCGCGGAGTTTCGCGCTCTATGTGCTGAAGAGGTAAATAAACATTTTACTATCGTGGATTATAGAGCAATTTAATCTCACTATGTAGGACTTGTTTTGTTAAGACTTTGCATCACTCACTCTCCACTCTTATATCTTGTTAGGCTTATCTGCAGCAAGAGCTTGAAAAACTACATGATATGAGAAACAAGGTGAAATTAGAAGGTGAACTTTGGGATGAGCTGGTATCTAGCTCAAGCCAGAATTCCCATATGGTTCAAAGAGCTACTCGCTTGTGGGACTCTTTGTTATCTCGCCAGAGTAGGGTTTTTATTTGGGTTTTATATTTTGGCCCTGTTGATTTTCTTGTAAAACTTGGATACCCTTTAAAGAAAACTTGTGCTCATCTTAATCAGTGTTCCATATCAATAACCTTATGTACAAGAACACTTGGTTTCTTTACTGTTTCATCAACAATATTATAGTTTTTTGAAACCGTGTGTATACTTAAATTTTGTATAGGTCAACACGAGGTTCTAGCTTCAGGGCCTATTGAGGATCTTATAGCTCATCGAGAGCATAGGTAATTTCTTAAAATGGTCATTTGTCATAAAGATACAGTAGCTTCGGGTGTATTCATACTCCATGGTCTTTTTCAGATACCGCATCTCAGGTTCATCTTTGCTAGCAGCAATGGACCAGAGTTCTTTGGTTTCATCAACTAATTTGAATCCTCAGCTTTTGGATAATGAAGACGCAGAGGTTTCACAAGCAGATGGAAACAAAGAGGACAAATCTAAATTGGATCCTTCTTATGGAATTGAAGATAAGACTTCTCGTGTTGATGAAAGAAGTATGAAAGGGCAGCCTTCAGTTGATGTTGCTGAAGTTTTACGACGGTGGACCCATGCTTTGCAACGAATTCATAAGCAAGCACTCCTACTGGTATGTTTGATTTTGCTAGATTGGTTTCATTGGTCATGATTTAGTTTTTCCTCCTCTTGGTTCTGTGGGTTTATTATGAATACAGTGCATTATCTTCTGGATGTTGCCAGTTTCTGATTGCTCATCAATAGCTTGTCTGATGCATACTTGAATTTTGTCATGAGATTAATGTGCATTCTTGATTTTTTCTTATCACTTGCCACAAAGGAACACTCTTGTATGATTATCAAATTATATGTACTGAAATTCTTAGAATGGTGCTGGTGCAGGCAAAAGCCAATGATGGGGAGGGTCCAGAGCTCCTACGAAGTGCTCATGATGGTGGTACCAGCAGTCATGCTGAGTCTTTGGCCACAACACTGGCCGAACATCGGCAGCACCTGGACAGCATTCAGGTAATTTTTTTGTCATGTCTTGAATTTTCTACTGTGATGTCAGAGGTTCTCTAAGAATCTTGTTTGATGCTCTACACCTGGTATTTAATTCTTGAACTTGGAACGTTTATAATATCTATCTCTTCCTTCATACTATTTGTGTGTTAAGGCAGATTTCATATATTTAGAAGTCGCTCTTACAGTAGTTTGTTTTGTGTTCAGGTGCTCATTAATCAACTGAAGGATGTTGCTCCAACCATACAAAACTCAATTTTAGAGCTTACGGAGGAAGTCAATAGCTTATCTAATCTCCCTTTCGTAAAGCATAGATCAAATGCAACTGGCCAGGCACAGGGCTCTGGAAGGACTTTGGTAACTAAGTTTTTTTTTTTTTTTTTTTTATTGGTGTGTGTGTGTTTCTGAAGAAAATTATGGGAGATTATGTATGTCATTTTTGGATACCTTGTTTCTTAGATTACTGAGGGTGGTGAATAATTGTATTTCCCAGGAAAGCAGTACTGATGATGAGGTTGGTGATATATCATCTAGACTGTCATCTATTCAGCTTGATAAGGTATCAGCTAGCTCCCCTGCTCTCAAACTGCCACCACTATTTAGTTCAACACCAAGTTCGTCAGGGAAAGGTGCAAATGTACAAAAGCGACAAATTGTAGCTCAAAACAATCCAGCAGAAAACATTACAGAGCAGCCACCTCCAAACAATAATATGGACAATCTTTCCCTTGGTATGCGATTAAATGCTGTTCTTTTGATATTTTCATGTATCAGTTGTTTATTATCCTTTTTTTCCCAAAATTTTTGTTATATTTGCAGATGATGACATTCTTTCTCTACAAAAGCTTAAGAGATCTGTCAGAGAAGCTGCTCTTTCATCACAAGTATGCAACTCGGGATCATCACAGGACAGTCGTTCTACTGATGGCTCTGAGCACTACTTTGTACCTTTTTCTGGGACAGGTTTTTCTCGACATGGGCAAGATAAGATGGCTAATGCTCTAAAGAGCAGGCATTTATTTGTATCTGAAGATGAATCTTCCTTGCTTAAGATGAATGCCAAGGACGATAATATTGGGAGCAAGTATAGTGGAGTTGCAGACATGTTGAATGATTTGGACTCTTTAGATGAATTTGATGGTGTAGATGGTTTTACTTCTGCAGCTGGTTCAAATTCATCAGTTTCAGATGCATATAGATCATTTTATGACATGGATGAAGCTCAGGGTCAAGTTTTTTCACCTCCTTTATTGATGGATACATCGCTTCTGGGAGATTCTTACGAGGATTTGCTTGGTATGATGACATTATATCTGGTTATCTGGTTAAGAACTAATATGTGTTTGTTCCGGGGGGGGGGGGACCCTTATGGAGTAATACAAAGAATGAATAGTTTTGCTTGCTGGTTCATTACTATATTTCTGCAAAATGAATGAAACAAGAGTCGTTTCCTGGTCAGTTGAATTTACTGCATTGTGATAATCTATTTTGTTCAACAATGAAAAACTGTATATAGCCTATTTGTTGTTGTCATCTGATTGCCAAAATAATGCTACATACTATTTGATTTCTTGCTCAAACATCTGCGTCTCATAAAAAACTTTACCTTCATGGTCACTGAAGAAGTTCTTAGAGTTACTATCACCTTTTGTATAATGGCATCTGTAGATGGAGATTTAAGAAATTTGAATTAGAATGTCATGATGAAGAAGGATTATTAATCCAGTTTTTTCTGCTGCTATCCATTTTACATACCAATGATTGCAATTCATTACCTGGCACTTGTTCATAAGTCTCTTAGTCATTTGTTAATATTCAATATTTTCGCTGAACATGTCAATGTCTTCCACCACTTTCTAATCCACTGTGCATTATCTGTTGCAGCACCTTTATCGGAGACTGAAACAGCTTTGATGGATCACTGACTTCGAATGTCTGATTTTGCTTGCTGTGGTAGCTTCAGTATGCATTCTCGAATAGAGGGATGCCTTCACATTTAACCTTCAAACTTGCAAATCTCCAACCAACCCTTATGCGGTATTGTTTGATTCCTACCGCTCCTATTCATGATGCACATATGCATTGCCCTTTTTTCCCATGCTGTGAAATTTTTTGCTCATTTGGTGTGACTACCGGAGGGAAAGACTTGATGACAACATTAACGTTGTCTTTCTCATTGGAGTGTGCTCTCACGAAACAGGTTATTGATGGTGGTGCATCCAGAAGAAAGGGCAAGTTACTGAAATTTGTCCTTGGTTGATTGAAAACTGCTGCCTGGAAGTTCAATGCTGTCACGTAACCATCTACTTTATTTAGGTGTAGATTCTTGCTAACCCAATTTACACAACACACTTGTGCATTTTATTGGCGGGCAAAAAAAAAAATCAGACACTATCCTTGAATGTGTAGTGCTGGAAGTTCATTCAGTTTATGCTTTGAGATTGGTATGTTTATGCTGTGTGCGCATTACATTCATTCGATGCAATGTATATTACATCTTTTAACGAGTGTCGATGAGGCCATTCGACTGGAGCCTCCTCTATTTTTATTTCCTTTTTCACTGTCATGAATTATGTTTCTATAACTTTTAGCAGCTCTTCCACGCCTAGTGCAAGTTAATTTCAAGTTACTGAGGATTTGTCTTTGGTTCTTGCTGTGTCTTTCTGTTAGCAATTGGTGATGAAAACTTGGGCCAAAATCTGTGGACTGCTGATTCTGTATGTACATACGTATTGAACTATTGATGTATTGATTTTATTTTATTTTTTAATTGTTTTTTATGCTTTCGATCAGTTCTTGTAGTTGAAAAATGATTGACTCTGTCTTGCAGGTCCATTTGGTAATGATAAAGTAGATCTTATTACTACTTCAACATTACCATTTTCTACTTGGTATTCAAATTTGGCGTCTCTTCTACAGATTCAATGGCAAATATTTCTGGGCGTGTTTTATTTATTTAATTTTTTTTTTTTTTTTCTGGCAGAATAGTAATAATAGAGGTTTATTGATGATCTCCTTCTATTGATTCAGCCCATTTTACAATAATAATAATATTTGATAATGATAGATAAAAAGGTGGGTGTTACAATCTATACCTATAATTGGAATTTTAATAATATGCCTTGAAATTGTAAGTGAGCTGGCGTGAATGACATATGGTGTTTCATTTTTAAGTTGGCACAAGAAAATTGAACTAATCCACAATCATTGGCTTTATCTCCCATCTTGAAAGACTTTCTTTTTTAAAAAAAAAAAAAAACATATTTTTACTAGAATATTTGTTGAAAATGAGATAAAAGCTACTCTTTTATCAAGGTACAATTTTCTAAATTTCTTTCAACCAAGCCACAATTAAATATATAAGCGGTTAAAAAACAATAGAATTTGGGGCGTGTTTTGGCAATTAGCTGATAGTCATTAGCGGTTAGCTGATTCAATTAGCTGGTTTGACTAGCTGATTCAATTAGCTGGTTTGACTAGCTGATTCGATTAACGGTTTGTATTAAAATGTTTGGTAAAACAACTGTTTGATATTAGCTGTTTATACATAAAATGACAATTGAGGATATTTCTATTTTATTTTTATTTCTAATATATTCAATTATGTTTTTTTTTAGTTTAGAATGTTTAAAATTTTTTGTTATTAGTTTTTGAATATTGTAAAAGTGTTATAAAAATATTTATTTTTATTAGAGTTAGATTTTAAAAAAAATAATATATTTTTATTAAAATATATAAATAATTTTTTCTATTGAAAATGATGTAAAATATAAAATAATAAATTTTTCGTGTATATATTTATTATGTTAGTTATCGATTAGTTTATTATATTTATAATTTTCAATAAAATTAATTTATTTAATTTATTTTAGTATAAAATTTATATAATATAATTTTAATATAAAAATAAATTATTAATATTTATATTTTATGTTGATTTTAATAAATTTATATATTTTACAATTAAAATAATTTTTATATATAAATTAATTATTTTAAATTTATAAAAGTAAAACTATATTATAATAAAATATTCTAATATAATCAAAAATATATTTATTTGTGTAAAATGCATAATAAATTTTTAAAGACATGTAAGGAATAAAAAATTTTTTTAACAGAAAAAGCTATTCGATAAGTTAGCTTTTCAAAAATTAATTTTTTGAATCAAAAAAACTATTTAAAAAAACTAATTTACCAAATACCTAAATTAACTTTTTGAAAGCTACTTGCCAAAATTAAATTTGTAGGTGCATAAAGTTATAGTTCAAAAATATTGAATGAATATTTTGACTCAATCCAAATATCCATTCTCTCTCTCTCTCACACACACACACACACACAAAAACAAAACACAGCCAATTACTTCTCCTGAAAATGACGCTTATTTCTGTTTTGCTAAGACCCAAATTAATCATTCACAATAATGAAATTTATTTATCTATTTCATTAAATAAATAAAATAAAAACATTCAGGTCTACAAATAAAACAAGTATAATAAATTAAGGAAAAGGGCTCTGCGCAGAGAGAGATAAGGAAAACCAAAAAACTAGGAGGAGACAGGTGATACAAAAAGGTACTCAACCTTTTTCTTTACAAGATCCAGGACCTCGACGCCACTTCCTTCATCCACACACTCACTAAAGTAGGCTCCACAGTAACCAACGGTGTAGATGCAATAGGAGCTGCCGACCCTGTCGGCTTCCAAGAATCTAATGTCGAAATAGTAAAGATAATCTGAAAAAAAACACACACACACACATAATAATAGTAATAATAATAATAATTCTCAGTAAAACCAAACACATCATTAAGAACCACCACTAGAAATTGATTCCTGTCTTTATTTTAAATAAAAACTCTCTCTCTCTCTCTCTGTCTCGGGGTTTCTCTCTCTATTATTTTCTGGTTCAAATCACTGCCCCAACTCACAGTGACCCAATCTTTTACCCCACACTCAATTCCGGCATCAAAAACTGAAATCACCTATATACTCGATTTGTTCGTCGGTGAGCCCGCGGATTTTGCAATCCTTTTTCTCCATGAATCTGCACTCCTTGTTGTAAAGCCTTGGTATTGGCGTGTGTGTGTGTTTTTTTTAATCCGTGTGATTTGGTTCGTGTGTTACTGTTCCGATGCTTTTTCGCAAGTCCGGTGGGTTTTGTAGATTGTGCCCAGATCTCGACGCCTTTTGATCTGAACTAACAGTTGGGAATCCGTACTGAAATTGGCGTCAATTGGAACTTGAGGTATTCAAATCTCATCGCATCCTTTTACACGATATTTTCCCCCCTTTTGGTTAAAAGTCAAAACTGTTGGATCTTATCCAGATTTAGTTTTATTTAGTTAAGTCTTAGTTCGTGCTTGATTTCTGCAACTTTGAGTTTTTATAATCGTTATGATTGTGACTTGCAATTGTGTGAATCTTGTTGGTGTTTTTCTGAATGGATGAAGATTAATTTATCCTTGACTTCGAGACATAATTCATTTATGGCGTTGAGTGATTTGTATGTTTGCCATATGATGATTCTTTAGCAGTTTAATAGTATTGAGTGTAGGGATATCCTTGTTTTGATTTTCTGTGTTTTTTTTTATGAACTTTGTGTTCTTTAAGATTGGTAACTGCTGTTGAGTTTCTGCTTGCAGAAGATTGCTTTTGGTGGGCTGTTAAGTGATGATTAAAAATATTCTAAACAAAATTCCCCGGAAACAGGCGAAGCTCGCGGAGAATCGGGATGGGGGATCCTCTGCTTTGCCTTCGAATGAGTCGTCTACTTTGAGAGGGAGCTTTGCTGCTGGTTCCCGATCAGCCAATCCGAATGCTCCCTCTGTTCCTGGAACAAATAATTCGGCGCAGACATCTGGCCCGAAACATGGGAACAAACTTGTTGACCAATTAAATTCGCGGATGAATGGGAGTGTGGGGCCCGGGCCTGTTCCGTACGAGGCCTTGCCGAGCTTCAGAGATGTGCCCAATGCCGAGAAGCAAAGCTTGTTTATCAAAAAGCTGAGCTTGTGCTGTGTGGTGTTTGACTTCACTGATCCCACCAAGAATCTGAAAGAAAAAGACATCAAACGGCAGACATTAATGGAGCTAGTCGACTACATCACGTCAGCCTCGGGGAAATTCAGCGAATCGCTGATGCAAGAGATGGTAAGAATGGTGTCCTTCAATCTATTCCGTGCCCTATCCACTCAGCCTCGCGAGAACAAAGTTGTGGAAGGATTTGACGTGGAAGAAGAAGAGCCATTAATGGATCCCGCGTGGCCACATTTGCAAATTGTCTATGAGTTCCTTCTCCGGTTCGTTACTTCTTCAGAGACCGACACCAAACTGGCAAAGCGCTACATTGACCAATCTTTTGTTTTAAAGCTGTTGGATCTCTTTGACTCTGAAGATCCTCGGGAACGGGAGTACTTAAAGACTGTTCTGCACCGCATATATGGAAAGTTCATGGTGCACAGGCCGTTCATTCGGAAATCCATAAACAATATATTCTACCGTTTCATTTTCGAGACAGAAAAGCACAATGGGATCGCTGAGCTGTTGGAAATTCTGGGCAGCATTATTAACGGATTCGCCCTTCCATTGAAGGAAGAGCACAAGCTTTTCCTTGTCCGGGCTCTCATTCCTCTCCACAAGCCGAAGTGCATAACCATGTACCACCAGCAGCTAACTTATTGCATCACGCAATTTGTCGAGAAGGACTGCAAACTTGCTGATACGGTCATTAGGGGGTTGCTCAAGTATTGGCCGGTAACAAACAGTTCGAAGGAGGTGATGTTCTTAGGCGAGCTGGAGGAAGTGCTCGAAGCAACTCAGCCCCCCGAATTCCAGCGCTGTATGGTCCCTTTGTTCCGTCAGATTGGGCGTTGCTTAAGCAGCTCGCATTTTCAGGTTGGTTCTACAGTATATTTTTGCTTTGGTTTTGTTCACATTTAGTGCGTTTCAATTGTATTATAAGAAGATTGCGCTGACTGTTTCTTACCCCATTTTAACTATGATATTTACGATGATTAATTTTGCATCCATCAGATTATACCTCCGGCTCTTCTTTAACATTAATCATTTCTTATCTCTAGTAAGTTTTGCTCATAGCACCTTCTTTATATCTTTTTTTTTTTTGCTCCTTTTCATTTTCAAGTCATGTGCTTAGATGATTTTATTTGCTAGAGTCGTTGCTCGACTTATTGTATAGAAGTTTATGGAATATGTGCTTGGATTGTTAATTGTTTGAACTTTCGTAACAATAATGGTTGTTGGAGAAAAAGATAAGTTATTGTCTGAGTGACCATTCGCTCACAAATAAATGGTCACGTAGTTTTACTTCATTAGGAAAAATGTGTGTGCTATTTGGAACTTGTGTTTTGATTGAAAGTAACACAAATTGCCAGCTTAAGGACGGACACTTTGATTTCAGAGAAATGATGGCTAGTGCAAGGCAAGCTACTTTTGCTTAAATTTTTCCGAATTGCCTCTATGCTTAATTATCCTCTGCATACTGTGATTAATATGCTTTTAATGTGATCGAGGAGACTCAGATTGGTTCACTGGCTTGTCATTTTTGGCCCCTTTCTCTTGTTCATTGATCCCTTTAAACTGTCGATGGTGTGCTTGATTTATGCACAGCACAATATCAGGACATGTTGTTTACAAGATCATTTTGTGCAGTTTCTTGAACTTTTCATCACAAATCGACATCCCTTCCTTGCCTCTACACGTTGGCATGTAACCGTATTTTAAATGTTTCTTAGTGTATTTATGTTTAATATATGTGCATTTCCATAGGTGGCCGAAAGGGCTCTCTTTTTATGGAACAACGACCATGTCGAGAATCTGATCAAGCAAAACCGTAAAGTGATTCTTCCGATAATCTTTCCTTCCCTGGAGAGGAATGCCCGAAGCCACTGGAACCAGGCAGTGCAGAGCTTGACCCTCAATGTCCGCAAAATCTTCTCAGATGCAGATCAGGAGCTGTTCGACAAGTGCCTGCAAAAATTCCAAGAAGACGAATCACAGGCAGAAGAAACCAAGACAAAACGCGAAGCAACATGGAAACGCCTGGAGGAATTAGCTGCTACGAAGAGCCCTAGCAATGAGGCAGCAGCTCTTCCTCCCCCGAGAACAACCGCCAAGAGGACATCCGGATCCGGCTGATTCCCGACACCTTTTTCTTATTGATTTCATAGATGGAAGGAGGTGAAGGATGACTGCCAAGTGGGAATGGAACAGATGATTTTGTTGCCTGATTTTTCCCTCCAATTTGTGATATAAGATATATATATATATATATAACATGTATCCTCGTTTGATCAGGCTGAAGAAATGAAGGAAAAAGGAATATGGAATGATGAGAGTTTGATGGTGTTTTTTAATGTAGAAGAAGAAGAGGAGGAAGAGGAAGCAGGGAATGCTGTACATACAACACAGAGCAGAATTGGCACTAAAAACTCTACAGCAGCTCTTCAATTAGTGAGTCAGTCGGTCAGTCATTTTTATTGTTAGAAAAAGATCTTCATGTTTTTGAAATTGGGGTTTTCAGTTTATTTTATTACTATGTACTTACTTATTATATATATATATTTATATTTATATCATGTATAACTATAACATCATCATCCATCATCAGCATCAACTTTTTTATTACAGCTGTGAAATTCTAACTGATGCTTTTTGGTTTTTGTTGTTTTTTCAAGCAGAATGTAAATCGGATGTTATGTCCTGTTGCATCTTTTGTTGTCAATTTATTCCTGAATCCTGCCTCTATCTATTTTATTAGAATAAAATATTCGAATAACTTGAATATTTGATTTGAAACAAATCGAATATTTTAAGTTTGTTTCTTCTGTAAGAATTTTTTATTTTATGCAAAATACTTCCATAAACATTTGTAAAAAAATTATAAAAATATAATGATTTTAATGCTAAGTATAATGACGAAAATGTACATGCGGACGAAGTGAATATATATTTTTTTTAAAAAAAAAATATAGTACAAATACTTGCTAGTTTTATATTATCTATGAAATTTACTCATTTCGTCTTATAACAAAGTATTCATTTTTCCATTTTAATCCGTCACATAACAAAAATATCCCGATATCACACGTACTAGTAAGGTTATTTCAGTTATTTTTACTTTAATCCTAACATAATATAATACTAATATTTTTAAAACTACGTATAAAAAGCAAATATTCATTTAGGGAGTACTATATTTTACATATAAAAAAAAAAAAAAAATTAATCAAACCAAAACGCAAAGCAAATACATATTTATGTTTTGTGGGTTATTATTTCGGATTTTTATAGACTTAAAAAGTAGATTGCGAGTGTCCAAACTGACAAACCTAAAAATTATGAGGTAAAGAATTTTAGCATTAGACTGTCGCGTGTTTGTTGTTTGTAATATCAAAATCTGCCATTGTTATTTTTTATATTTACTTTTGATTTATTGTAAATATTTATTTATTAATAAATTAATTTAATTTAATTTAATTTTTTTAAAATATTTGAATATATTATGTAGTTTCCAAATTTTCAGTTTAATTCTCCAACTTCCAACAATTTAATTTGATTCCGATAATTTCTTTTACAAGGCTTCGTTTTGACACTAATTTTGGTGGATGCTTGACACTATTATTTTTGTTTTAAATGCTACATTAAATATATATGTATATTTAAATAATTACATTAATTATTTTATTATTCTCGAATTATTTTTTAAAATCTTTAAAAAGTATTTGTCTATCTAAACTAAAAGGTGCGTGTAAGTATTATATTTTCTCTATTACACATTATTTATTTTTTTTATTTGTTATATATAATTTGTCGTTTTTTCTTCAAATATAATTATTTATTTTAATTATATTTTAATTTTTAAATTTTATAATTTTAATCAATAATCATATTTTTATTATATAACAATTATTTTTATTAATATATTTTTTAATTATTTATAAATTATAATTTAATTAAAATTAAAATTTAAAATAATACATCAAAATTATATGGGAGGATGGAGTATTATATATATTTATTACTCCTATTTTTATAGTACGTATGCAATAATTACTTCATTTCATATTATTATAATATATATATATATATATATTTGGACATTCTGAACAGACCTTCTCTCTAACATCCTCTAGAGAACCCCTTTGGAAAATTTGTGGATTTAGGTTTGAATTTTCCTTGATCTTTGTAAACCCTAAATCCTAGCGATTGGGTTTGATCAATTTTGCTTCGGCGCCTTTTGCCAGCAACGCGCAGAGGTGGGGAACGAACAAACAAACGATAGGAGTGAAGAATCGGATGCGGAATTTGCGTTCTTAGGAGATTAATCATCATTCGGTGAAATGCCAAGCATTGGCGTGAAGTTATACAGCGTATTTTTCAAATTTATGCTAAAGCATCGGCTGCAGAGCCGATTACAAGTGCCGGAGAGCGACGCCGTCGGCAGCGGTGGCGGAAATTTTGGGGTCACGTCACGACCGGAGGAGGGCACCGCCGCCGCCGTCAATCCTTCCTTCACGGACGGCGTCGCCACCAAAGATATACACGTAGATCCTTTGACGTCGCTCTCGATTCGCATCTTTCTTCCCGAGACCTGCCTTCGTTCTCCCGACGCGCTGACCAATTCTCGTGGACCTGTATTCGATTCCGTATCTCGCCGTAGCAGCTATGGATCGCCAAACAACGGGGCAATTCCTAGCAGCAACGGAGGTGTAGTTGTTAAGCGTGTTCAGAATATTGATAGCAATAGACGAAGTAGTTACGGAGGCTGTATTGATGATTCGGCTTTGAAATCCGACGGAGGTTACAAAGGTTACAATCCATCAGGGAAGAACTGCCGGAGATTACCGGTGATGCTGCAGTTCCACGGCGGGGCATTTGTGAGTGGGAGCAACGATTCAGTAGCAAACGATTGTTTCTGCCGGCGAATTGCGAAACTGTGCGATGTGATAGTGTTGGCTGTGGGGTATCGGTTGGCGCCGGAGAATAAGTATCCGGCGGCCTTCGAGGATGGAGTAAAAGTGCTTCATTGGCTAGCGAAGCAGGCGAATTTGGCTGAATTTGGGAGGGGAGGAGGAGGAGGAGCTGTTGCGAAGAAGATGGAGGGTAATTGGCATGTTGCCGATGCATTTGGAACATCCATGGTGGAGCCTTGGTTAGCTGCTCATGGGAATCCGTCGAGGTCGGTGTTTTGTTGGATATGTGCTACTTTTTGAATTGCTATCTGGTTTGATGTTGTTTATGCCAATGTTATGCTTATTTGTTTGCTTGATGAGTTTATTGCTGCTGTCGAAAGTTATTAACCATGTCTCTTTGTGTGGCTATTGAGCATTTGTGTGTTATACAATCGGTCAGCGTTGCTTAAGGTAATCAATAAGTTTTGTTATAGATTATCTGACTAGCTATGATATGATAATCTTTGGCATGTTGGCAACTTGATGGATCATAGTTGAAGAGCTTCCTTAGACTGTCGAATTACTTTTCGTTGAGTTCTTGATGTAATTATTCGAGATTCTTTGAATATGTTGCTTACTTTAGACAGAGGTTTTGGAAATTTAAAGGGTATGATTCTTTTCAGTCTGAATTGGGTTTGGATATTTGGATTTTTTATTTAAATACTATTTGATGTAATGTTTTTGAAAAAATTATAGTAATTAACATTGTCAAAAGTTCTAAAAGCATCTTTGTAAACAGAGTGTAGTATCTGAATTGCTGTATTGTTGCCCTTTAATGGAACCAGGTGTGTGCTTCTTGGGGTGAGCTGCGGGGGGAACATTGCTGATTACGTGGCTCAGAAAGCTGTCGAGGCTGGCAAGCTTTTGGAGCCGGTAAAAGTGGTTGCCCAGGTTTTAATGTATCCGTTCTTCATCGGAAGTGTTCCGACACATTCGGAAATAAAGCTCGCAAATTCCTACTTTTACGACAAGGCTATGTGCACACTTGCTTGGAAACTATTCCTTCCCGAGGAAGAGTTCAGCCTCGATCACCCGGCAGCCAACCCACTAAACCCGAACAGAGGAGGGCCTCTCCCGAAACAGATGCCTCCGACCCTGACAGTTGTGGCTGAACACGATTGGATGAGAGACCGTGCGATCGCATACTCGGAGGAGCTTCGGAAGGTGAATGTCGACTCTCCTGTGCTCGAGTACAAGGACGCCGTTCATGAATTTGCGACTTTGGACATGCTCTTGAAGACCCCTCTAGCTCAGGCCTGCGCTGAGGACATCGCCATTTGGGTCAAGAAGTATATTTCACTCCGAGGCCACGAGTTCTCGTATTGATCGATACGGATGGATGTTTGATTCCATTCGAGTTAGAACACGGGCGTGTTGCTGTGTATGATAATGGTACAACACCATGCATAGGATGGATATGTATAATGAGTATGGCTTAGAAGAAAAAATTGGTCACTACTTCTCTGTTTGTACATTTATTATTGATTGGTTTTTAAAACATAGTTTTGTTGGTTACTGCTTTACTTTTATTTGTGCATCTTTTATTCTAATATATTGATATACACTGATTATTAGTTTCCAAGGATAGGGATATTTCATTGTGCCTTGTGGATTAAATTGAAGTATTGAAGTATCTCCATAGCTACCATTCAACCAGTTACAGCCTCCACTGATCACTGGAGTTAACACAATCTGTCTATCTGCTTACAAATATCTTTTTAGTCCTACAAAAATTTCAATGGAACTATGGTAACAAATCCATAGATTGAATTACCAATAAATGAAAATGAGATTCTTACTAGACATCAAGAACATGTCAAAATTTGGGTGATGTTAGGTAGTTTTGATTAATTCTTCATTTACTGCTGCACTTTACCAACTCTGATTAAAATACAAATTTTCTCTTCCTTAGTTGTATTATTTTTGAATTAGTAAATTGCTGCTGTTGAGATCATGTTTCTTGATCGCCTCCATTCATTGTACAGTTCAAATTTTCTTTTGGGTTAGGTAATTTGCTAGCTCTCAAATTGCTATATACGTTGGATTACGTTGATTTTTAAATCTTGTAGGAGCTGTATATTCTATTGCCAGATGTGGGAGGACTGGATAAATTGATTATTGGATGCTTGAGCTGTATTTCTTCAGAAAAACAAAAAGAAAAAAAAAAAAGAAAGTCAACTATTCTATTGTACGTTGCCTTAACTGTGGTGTTAGTGAGGAATGAGGATCACTCCATAAACCCAAATGGGTTTTCTTTAATTCGTTTTGATTTTTTCTCCTCCTTCAGTTTCTGTAAATGAACATCATCGAATTTGTTTGCTCATTTATTTGATAGAAGAAGAGAGTTTCAGGGATATGATGTTACAGGTCATCTTCGATGGAAATTTCTTCCCTGTATATTTAATCTGCTGCCCCTTTCCCCACGATCTTGTCTCTCTGGCATAAAATTGCAAGAAAATGTTGGTAAAGAGCTGACTTCGATTTAAAAAATAAAAAAATAAAAATTAGAGAAACCCTATTTCAGATCTTTTCAGGGAAAACTCAATTCTGTTCTCGGCTATGCGACAATGGCGACGGTAAGACTCATGCAATTCTTAACGGCGTTAGTGGCGGCGCTATTAGCGAGCTGCCTGCAGGCATCCGCCGCGGCGGTGGCCGGAACGGCGCCGTTTAGGATCCACACACTGTTCTCGGTTGAGTGCCAGGATTACTTCGATTGGCAAACTGTGGGCCTCGTGCATAGCTTCCGGAAGGCCCGGCAGCCCGGCCCGATCACTCGTCTGCTCAGTTGCACCGAGGAAGAGAAGAAGAAGTACAGAGGTTTCGACTTAGCTCCGACGTTTGAGGTCCCTTCAATGAGCAGACACCCCAAGACTGGCGATTGGTCAGTTTTTTTTTTTTTTTTTCTAAATTTGTTTCTAACAATCGACAAGAAGCAAAATTCTTGATTTAGGGCTTATTGATCTCTCTTTCAGGTATCCAGCCATTAATAAACCTGCTGGTGTAGTCCACTGGCTTAAACACAGCAAAGATGCACAGAATGTGGATTGGGTTGTTATTCTGGATGCAGACATGATCATCAGAGGTCCAATTCTTCCATGGGAGCTTGGAGCTGAGAGGGGAAGACCTGTTGCTGCATATTATGGGTCAGTTTATGCTAATAATTTCAATAATTTGTGTTCTTGATGTTCTAATATAGTTCAGACTTATTCACTGGCTCATTTGAATGTAATTTGTTGGATTCAAGTGTTTGTGATCTATGATTTGTTCAATTTGAAGTATGGTTTGGGCATTTTGGAATGTTGATTTGATCATTATCTTGTTTCTGTTTAATCTTCGGGCGAAACATCTTCATGAGGATTGTGTAATTTCATTACCAGATACTTGGTGGGATGCGACAACATTCTTGCGAAACTGCACACAAAGCATCCCGAGCTATGCGATAAGGTTGGCGGGCTTTTAGCAATGCATATCGATGATCTCCGAGCATTGGCGCCTATGTGGCTGTCGAAAACGGAAGAAGTTCGTGGAGATAAAGAGCATTGGCCTACTAAGTACACTGGAGATATATACGGAACAGGGTGGATCAGTGAAATGTACGGATACTCATTTGGCGCTGCCGAGGTTAAAAAAATTGTCTTTACTTCCGTAGTTATTCTTGTTTCAATCGTTTTCTGTTTTTTTTTTTTTCGATTGCCTTGAAATCGTGTCTTGTTTTCTTCAGGTTGGGTTGCGCCACAAGATAAATGATAACTTGATGATATATCCGGGATATGTTCCTCGGGAAGGCGTCGAGCCAATTCTTATGCATTATGGCTTGCCTTTTAGCGTCGGAAATTGGTCGTTTAGTAAATTAGAACATCACGAAGACAGCGTCGTGTACGACTGCGGGCGTCTGTTTCCCGAGCCTCCTTATCCTAGACAGGTAGCAAGTCGCAATTCTTTTATAAAATTCGACGAATTGCATTAAGGTTCATACTGGTTTATGTTGCCATTACATGTCCTTGCAGGTGAATGAAATGGAGAATGATCCGAACAAAAAACGGGCGTTATTTCTCAGCATAGAGTGTATGAATACGCTGAATGAAGGTCTGTGGTTGCATCACACAGCGCGCGGTTGCCCCAAGCCGAAGTGGTCGAAGTACTTGAGCTTTTTAAAGGGCCAAACTTTTTCGGAACTTACTCAGCCGAAACGAGTGACTCCACAAAGCCTCAGGATGATGAACGATGTTCATAAGCAAGACAGTGACGAGCCGGAAAAGACATTCCCGAAAATACATACAGTTTTCTCGACAGAGTGTTCCTCGTACTTTGATTGGCAGACGATCGGGCTCGTCCACAGTTTCTATCAAAGCGGTCAGCCGGGAGGCATCACGAGGCTTCTGAGCTGCACTGACGAGGACTTGAAGCATTACAAAGGACATGATCTTGCTCCCACTCACTACGTCCCGTCGATGAGCCGCCATCCTTTAACCGGAGATTGGTAAATTTTTGAAATGCCCATTTTCGATCTGTTGTAACACAGCGAATTGATAACCAAACATCGTTTCTTCAATGGCAGGTACCCGGCGATTAATAAACCTGCTGCGATCGTGCACTGGCTTAATCACGTAAAGATCGATGCAGAATATATAGTGATCCTCGATGCGGATATGATAATGAAAGGTCCTATTACGCCGTGGGAGTTCCACGCAGCTAAGGGAAGACCTGTCTCGGCTCCTTACGAGTACGATTTCATATCATATCTTAGTTTCTTGAATGAATCGGGATTACGTTACTTAAAACTCGTCAATGCGCTGTATACTATGCCTCAGATACCTTATTGGCTGCGACAATGTGCTGGCCACGATCCACACTCGCCATCCCGAGGCTTGCAACAAGGTCGGAGGCGTGATAATAATGCATATAACCGATCTCAGGAGATTGGCGTTGCTTTGGCTGCACAAAACCGAGGAAGTGCGCGCAGATATGGCGCATTGGTCCACGAATTTTACGGGAGATGTTTACGAATCCGGATGGATTAGCGAGATGTACGGATACTCCTTTGGCGCAGCAGAGGTATTTATTTTAGTACTTTCAGTAATCTCCGAGCTTCGATTAGCTTTCTTAGAGTTCTTACACGTTTTTTTCGTATTTATTGGCACAGCTGAAGCTAAAGCATCTCATAAACGATGAGATAATGATATACCCTGGTTATGTTCCGACGCCGGGCGTCAACTACAGAGTGTATCACTATGGCTTGGAATTCAGTGTCGGCGACTGGATCTTCGACAAAGCGAAATGGAGAAATTTCGACGTTGTGAACAAATGTTGGGCTATGTTTCCGAGCCCTCCTCATTCATCATCACTCGATCAGTCGAACAAGGAGTTCTTGAGTCGGGACTTGCTCAGCATAGACTGCGTAAATACGATGAACGAGGCGCTGCGCCAGTACTACAGCCAGAAGAAATGTCCCGATCCCAATAGCTTCTTACCAACTCCAACGAGGATGACCTCCCGCGATCCTCCTAGGTTGGATTCACCGGGTGACGAGACCACCATTGAAGTAACAGCTTCGAAGAAACTCGAGAAGGTCAATCAGACTGATGCCGAAAATGAATCCCGGGGAATCTCTACACCGGAGGAGACGAACCAGACATTCAGTTCGATGAGATTCTGGATAGTTGGCCTTTGGGCGCTGTCAATCGTCGGTTTTGTAGGAGCAATGGCGATGATGATTTTGCGGCGCCGAGGTATGAGGAAGCGGGGTAAGACATACAAGTCAAAACGACGAAACTCGAATCCGGGATTCTGGGATCGAAACAATCCTGAAGACTAGGAATACATACACACATATATATATATGTATGTATGTATAAGAACAGCAACTGACACTTTTATTTGCACCATGAAATAGTTTCAGAAACAGAGCATAGGTTTGAATCCATACAGTGAAGAAGAAGGCAGACCTGCCACGAGTTCATCTTCTTTCAGTTTTTTCTGTACTGTATGTATTATGGCATAAAGAAACCCAAATTACAGTAATAAGCACCATTGAAAGCTTCATTGTCATTTGTCAATGTCATGTCTTCCATGCACAAAATGCAGTTAGCTGTAGCAGTGAATAGTGATGTATCAACAAGAGGTAGTTGTGCAACCAACACTCTTCTTCCCCAATTTTCTTAGCTTGAAGCAAAATCGAGGGTCCTCAATGAAGATTTTAATCTTCAGATATGTGTAGATTTACGTTACTGAGAGGATTTTGGTGGATAAAATGGTGTGTGAAATTTGTGTGAAGTCATCCAACCCCTCGTCAATGGCGGTTTTATTGCGTAATTAATTAATTGATAAATTCAAGGATGTGGGGCCAGGCGATGCTGAAAATGAGGGGCAAAGCTGCACCAGAAATGAGTGACGTTACGGCAGAGGGGGTGTGTGTGTGTCCTTTCATTTGAATTTCAAATTTGAGTATTTGAGGAGAGAGATTTATACGAGGATTCTCGCAGTGTGCCTTCCATGGTTCGTGTGTTTGCCTAGTTGGAGGTTCTTGTTCTTCATTCTACTGCTGCTGCTGCGGCCATTGAAGCTGAGAATGGGAGATTCAACGTGTCTCGTCCGGGGGTTCTCGTATCCTTCTGCAATTCCTAATGAATCGCATCAGGTTAGAAGAATTCTCTCTGGTATCCAGTGACTCTACATTTCCCCTGTTTGCTTAAACTATAATTGATGCATTGATTCTGATATTTGTCGATTGAGAAACATGATTGGTAAATGGTAATAACAACAACTGTCGCTAGTTTACAAATCTAGAAAGCTGCTATGGGAGTGAGAAGGAGAATGGAAGTTGAATACAAATCTGCTCTGTTGCAGCCAATTTTTACTGCGCTTTTCCTCGCTCAGATTGAGTTCCGAAAGGAATGCTAGGGTTTGAGAAGTCGTAACGAGCGATGGTATCCATGTGTTGCAGGGGAGCCTTATGCTAGCTCTCGGGGATTCAGTTTCATTCGGGAGGTTTCTGAATGAATCCTTGTCTTGGGAGAAACGTTCTGCGTTTTTACACAGGAACTACGTCGAGGAGGCCGAGCGGTACTCACGGCCAGGATCGGTGGCGCAGAAGAAGGCTTTCTTCGAGGCTCGTTACAAGAGGATTGCAGCCAAAAAGGCTGCTGCAGATGTGCTTGAGCAATCCAGTCCAATTACAGAATCTGTAGAAGTTGAGTCCGCTGCTGAAAACCAGAGAGATCCTCGTGCTTGGGAAATGGTGCGTGTCGATATTCCGAAGGGAAATGAAGCTCTGGAAACTGTTGAAGACAAGGATAACGGCGATGGACAATCTGGTCATGATCTCGAAAATCATCAGGAGATAGAGAGAGTCTCTGTAAAGCTTGATAATGATATTGAAGAACAGGATGCTGTTTCAGTCTCGGCATCTGAGAGGTCTATGCTGAAGGTAATTCCATGGCTGAATTGAATGCTTTTGTTTTCCTTTTGGCAGCTATGGTCTGCAATTTTGTGTTGAAAGTAATTGTTGTGTTTGATGCAGGCGGATTATGCAGCTAGCGAGGATAAACCATTGGCGACAAGCAAAGATGGATTAGGAGCACATCTGTCGTCATCATCAGACGCATCAATTCAGCATAAAACATGGAAAGGTCCTTCTGAACCTGCTCAGCAAGTTTTTCATCTCGAGAAACAAAGCAATGCTGTGGAAGAGACAATCACATCTAGAGTGAACTCCATGGATGTAAAATTATCACCTTCGAAGCTACCAGAAAACTCAGGGGATGCTGGTGGCTCATCCATGGCAGCGCCTCTTTCGAAAAATCTCTCCTCCAAACCTTCAGTCAAGGAATCTGATAGGGATTCAAACTCAGAGAAAGCTTACAGTTCGACTGTAAGCGTGGCTCCTTTCAGTGAGATTTATCTCTAAGTTCGTTGCTGATATTTATCCAACATTTTTTATTTGCAGGCACAATCTAACAGCGCGTCGACAAATCCTCCAGCCAACTCTCAATTGAATAGCACGAGGTTTGCTTTGATTAACGCCATGGATGCATTTTGATGACCAATAGGTCACAGTCGCTGTTGGTAAATGACAAATTACTTAACATACAATGCAGGGCGGAAACTGCGGTTGTTTCCTCAACCCTGGGAAGCAAGTCGACTAGCCATAAATGGCGATATTTCTCAGCAATGTAAGCTTGAAGATTATTGCATCGAATCAAGAATTAGTGCATCCATTTCTTTGATTATTCTTTCGAATGTTGTTGTCCTTCAGGTTATCCAATTCGTTAACAGAAAAAAGTGCTACTAAAAGCAAACAGAAACCCGAGGAGAACTTGACTGGAAGCGAAGCCCAAAAGACGAAGCTACAAGAATCATCCAAGGTATCAAGTTTGACTCATTACATTCCTCATCTGATTAAGGAGTTCATTCTGTGTAACAAATTGTTTTTTGCAGGATAAAGCAGGAAACAAGATTAAAAAACTCGGATGTATGTTTTGTTTCAAAGATTCAAATCCCCTCGACGAAGAAGAACAATACAGAAACCAGGTAAATCACAGCAGTCTATTGCCCTTGGCTTCATTGCTGTTTTAATCCACATCGGTGCGATTTCTAAATTCCTCATTGTACATGCAGGGCACAATCTCAATGCCATCATCTTCTCCAAAGAGCTTGTCCAAGAACTCTTCGGAAAAAAACGGTATCAGAGTTCCCAAATTATTTACTGAGAGGAGTTAGCATGAAAATGACCCTCCAAATAGGAAGAATGTTTTTTTTCTCTTTCATTTTTGGGTGTATACGACACAAGGATAGTTTCTGCCTGCATTTTCGTTTAATGAATCAAACATATACTTATTGTTTATGCATCAGCAGTGCGAGAAGTTGATAGAATCAACAGTTAGTATGAAATTATAATTCATTAGTATTAACATAATTCTCCTTGTTCAAGAGAAGAGAGGAAGTTAACACTATACCAATAAGATCCTTCGTTAAGCTCGAACCTCCAGGCCATGGATGGATCGATGTACATCTGCATTTCCAGACCAGGTATGCTTGAATGGTCTATCATTACATATGGCTCGTGGCACCGAAGTGGAGTAGTTGTGTAGTTGTTCATCAGAACTAGACGAATTTCATCGTGCTGCTTCAACATCTCTCGGCAGCTCCACATTCACCTGCATCATCGAAGGCAATATAGTAAACCATTCCTGTGTATTATTATTACAAGATTGCATTCTATACTGTAAGCACAGGTCCTTCCATACCTGAGACGAAGCTGCCTTGGCTGGATACAGCACATAATGCTGAAATATGAAGATTCCGTCGAATATTATAGTCACCTACAGAGCAAAATCATCAACCTCGATGGAAAATCACGAGGAATGCAGTGATCATGTAAGAAACATTGCATACCAATGCTAACAGACTCTTCCCTATGTTTCCAAACAAGTTTTTGTAGGAACCTGATGAAGTAAAGGGTGCAATCAAGAATTAGGAGTTCAGGTTCTCTTCATATATATATATATATATATATATATATGAAGTTTGGCTATCAACTCACGTTGATCTATCGACTGCAAGATCATCTGCGTCATGTTGCAAATGCCCCCCAATAAATCAAGCAAGACCATGCCAATGCTGAACCCAGTCGTGCTTTTGCGCTGGAAGTTGAATACCACCTAAATTTACCGAACACAATTGTCAGGCAGAGACGTCCAGGTAAATCTCAGATTCGAAATGGTTTCAGAATTCAGACTTACCTGAGGAATGTATTTGATGACTGTCATAGCAACCTGAATTGTGCTGGGTAAGGATTGAGAGATGTTAGAGCAGGAAATGAACATACCCAACAGAAATGGAAGATCGGAATTAGTGGCGGTGTTCTTACTTAAAGCTGGACACCAGCCAATACCATTTATTGCTCGGTATGGCTAAGAACGTGCAAATTGCAGCAGCTAACCCCGTGATCAAAATAAGGGCTTTACATGTCTTCGAGACCTTCTGGTTCCCTCGCTGCAGCAAATTATTCGTAGTAAAAAATCTCAGAATTAAGGAATCCAAGCGAGGCTGACAGTACGTAGTCTGTGTGATCCAATCCACGACATACATCATATATCAAAATCTGGAATCCAGTGAAACCAGTCGTCAGAACAGCATGTATTGAGAAAGCCACATCGTTTACAGCAACAGGTAGCATCTGCAGCCACACACTTTACTTGTGAAACCATGATTGCACTTTTTAAAACCTGAATCACGATTGAACTTACTTACTGATAGCTTTTCCCTCTGCTTTGGACAGGAGAATGCAATTAATTACCTGATTGTGACCATATTTTGCACGGTATTGCGCCTGCACTGTGTGGCTGAAGGTCATGGAAGCATTGTAGGACAAATACAAATTCTGCTTCAGGTAATTCAGCAGCGCGAAATCGAAATTAAGCCCTACCACGCTGCGGAAATACACCACAATCAATCACATCACTAGTCTCTATCGAAATTCAAATCTCTGTAGTAGAACACGAGGTATGATTTGAATTGTGAATACCTTTTTCTCTGGAAATTAAGCAGGATCTGCGGGTAGAAACTGACAGACCAGGACGAGAACGCGATCCATCCCAAAATGGAGGACGTCACCTCCAATGGAAACGATCTCCACGAAGGCATCGATCCTGAATACTCCCGCTCTCGCGAGCTCAGAATAACCGTCGGTGGCTGCCAATGGTTCCAACATCGTTTCGAATGGCTTCTAGGACATACATATACAGACACCTAATCGAAATAATGCTACGTGAGAATAGGCAGAGGAGAAGACGATGAAGAGGAGAACAAGTCTATACGAGCAAAAGGAATTACACAATACGAAATTCGCGTGATGAATGTTCTGAATCAGCACGTCCAGGTTCTGGCAACTACTGTAGTTGATTTCTGCCACAACAAATCACCTTTTTTTCAAATTCTCTGTTCCTTTTATTCCAACCAATAAAAAAAAAAAAAAAAAAAAAAAAAAGTTACACTGAGAAGAGATAAAAACAGAAACAATATAATTTTATATATTAAAAAAATATTTTAGAATTTATTAATTTTTTATTATATTTTTATTATTTATTAATTTTATTTTTTAAATAAATAATAAAAACTTATATTAAAAATTAAATTTTATTCAATTAATTTTAGTTCTCAAATATTTATTATATTAATTTATTATAAAAATATAATATATTTTTTAAAAAATATCACATTAAAATATATATGAATGATAAAATTCTAGTGCTATTAATTTTGAAAATAATATAAAATTACATTAAAATCTAAAAATTATAGAATTTAAATATTATATAAAAATATTTGAATACAAATTAATTTTGGATATAAATTTTATTTTTTATTTTAAAAATAGAATAAAATTAATAAATAATAAAGAATAAAGCTAAATATAAAAAAGTGAAACACATAAGTCTTAAGTTGTATTCGTTATCTTCTTTCTTTCACATGTTCTATTCTCATTAGCGGGAATAGAAGGAATAAAAAGGAATTGAGAATAAGTGATCTGATGTCCTCTTAGACACTAATTGCATGTCATTCTTTCACTATAATTCATTGTGTAATTCGCAGATCGGCCACAATCTTGTTCCTCCGCAGTCAACGGCGGGGCCTTTCTCACATGGACCCTAATTATTATAAGAGCAATAATTATTTTGGTCTCGTTAATATTATAATTATTTGAAATTATTTTTTTCAATTTTGGCATCATTCAAATTAAAATTTTATTTTTATTGAGTGAAACTGAACACAGCTGTGTTATATAGCTTGTAAAGGTGACTGGGCGCCTCAAGCAGTCAATATAGCCTCCATGTTCACGACCTTGTTTTTAATATAATCATATTGTAAATCATATTTATTATTATTTCATTTTATTAAAATTATTTCATATATATTTATAAATCAACAAAAAAATTTTATATTGTAATATTATTATATGATTAGCCAATAAAAATATTAATACCGCTAACCACTATTTTATATATTTTTATATAATATATATATAATAGATAATATATATATATATCAATATGTAAGTTGTGTGGGTGCGTGTGTATTAAATATATGAATATAAGTATATATATGGTATATATATATGTATGTATGTATGATATGTATGAATATGTGATATGTGACTATGATTGAAATATTTAGTGCTTTCAACGAGATAAGGAACACAGATGGGACACAATGAAAGGAATAAATAGAATTTGATGTGTCTTATTTCATTCACTCATACATATATTTATAGTGAATTTGAGTTTCAACGAGTGGTAATAAAGTTGCCACAATGAATACACATACCACCTACGTCGACAGTAATAAAGTATATCCACCTTGTGTACACGTAACAATAATGTGTATAACACTCCCCCTTGGATACTTTTATACAAGGAATGTGCATCGTTAAAACCTTACTAAGAAAAACCATGTTAAACGAAAAATTCTAGTGAAGGAAAAAAGTACAACATTATTGTATCAATTTGCTCCCCCTAATCTGAGCATTATTTGAGATCCCTTAACCGACGCATCCCAATTTTCTTTACCGATTTTTCAAATGTTGCAGTCAGCAATGCCTTGGTTAAATTATTATCTAATCGAATTTGCTGCACATTAATTTCACCATTATGTTGTAGATCATGATTGAAAAAGAATTTTGGTGAAATATGTTTCATTCTATATCCTTTGATGTAACCCAATTTCAATTGAGCTATACAAGCTGTATTATCATCATACAATGTAGTCGGGGGAATTTTATCGTCAGGTATTAACCCGCAATTTTTCAGAATATGTTGAGTAATTGACCTCAACCAAACACATTGTCGACTAGCTTCATGTATTGTCAATATTTCAGCATGATTTGAAGATGTGGCAGTTAAAGTTTGTTTAATTGATCTCCAAGAGATCACAGTTTTGCCACAAGTAAATATATAGTCAGTTTGCAACTTGGCTTTATGAGGATCCGATAAATATCCTGCATCGGAAAATCCAATTAGTTCATGTCGAGAATCTTTCGAGTAAAATAACCCGAGATCAATTATTCCTTGGAGATAGCGAAAAATATGTTTAATTATGTTCCAATGTCTTCGAGTAGGCGATAGGCTTAATCGTGCCAATAAATTTACAGCAAATGATATGTCGGCTCGGGTGTTGTTAGCAATATACATCAATGCGCCTATAGCACTCATATATGGCACTTCTGAGCCAAGTGTTTCTTCGTTTTCCCCTTTTGGTCTAAATGGATCCTTGATTGGATCGAGTGCTCTGACGATCATTGGGGTACTTAGCGGATGTGACTTATCCATCATAAATTGTTTCTATGCCATTTTGGTATAATTTGATTGGTAGATGAAGATTCCACTTTCCAAGTGCTTAATTTGCAAACCAAGGCAAAATTTAATTTTCCAAAATCTTTGATCTCAAACTCCTTTTTCAGATATTCAACAGCTTTTTGGATTTCATCAGGAGTTCCAATTAAATTGAGATCATCAACATATACAATGATGATTACGAATCCTGACCCATTTTCTTTATGAAAACACATGGACATATAAGGTCATTTATGTAACCTTCTTTTGTTAAGCTTTCAATAAGACGATTGTATCATATTCGGCCTGATTGCTTGAGCTCATACAAAGATTTTTGCAATGTGATGGAATATGATTCTTTTGGCTTTGATTTGAATGATTCAGGTATGTTAATCCCTTTTGGGATTTTCATGTTGATGTTATTGTCTAAGGGAGCCATAAAGATAGGCAGTAACCACATCCATTAATCGCATACCAAGATTATTGTGTGTTGTCAGGCTCACTAGATACCTGAATGTTATTCCATCCATGACCGGTGAATATGTTTCTTCAAAATCAATGTCCGATCTTTAGGAAAAACCTTGGGCTACAAGTCTTTCTTTATATCTTGTGATATCATTATTTACATTTCTTTTTCTCATAAACACCCATATGTAACCAACAGGTTTTACATTTTTAGGTGTTTGGACTATATGGTCGAATACTTGTCATTTTTTCAATGAGTCCAATTCAGACTTAATTGCATCTTTCCATTTTGCCCAATCATCTCTTTGCCGACATTCATCAACTGATTTTGATTCATAATCCTCGTCATCTTTCATTATATCGAGTGCTACAGAATATGCAAATGCATTATCAATATTTTTTTTCTTTCTGTTCCAATATTTTCCACTGGTGGTATAGTTAACAGAAGTTTCAATAACTTCATCATCACTTTCATCAGAATTTTTAGTATCAATCTCTTCAGGTGCTGTACTGATCTTTTCAGGTATTTGATCATTGTTGATCTCTTCACCAGTATTTACAATTTTCTTCTTTCGTGTATTCTTATCCTTGGAACCCAACGGTCTACCACGTTTTACGCGGGCAGTATGCTCATTAGCACTCGGTATTTTCCCTTCTGGAATGTTTATTTTAACTGGTGTATTTGCTACTGCAATGTATGATTTCGTTACTCTGGCAGCATCATTAAAAACATTAGGCAATTGATTTGCAATTTTCTGCAAATGCACAATTCTTTGAACTTCAAGTTCACTATGTTTCGTACGAGGATCAAATTCAAGTGGTATTTTCCACGAAATTTCTTTTTTCAGTTGATTACTGTCTCCCCCCTAATGTCGGGAAATGAGATTCATCAAAGTAACAGTCTGCAAACCTCGCAGTAAATAAATCACCCGTTGGAGAATTTGCGATCGGGGGTGATTCATACCCGACATATATACCCAACCTTATTTGAGGTCCCATTTTTGTGCGTTGAGGTGGAGCAATAGGAAGATAGACATCACACCCAAAAATTGGCATGTGAGATATTTTGGTACTTTTCCAGAAACCAATTGAGTAGGGAAATAACAGTGATAACTTGTCGGCCTTATTTTTACGAAGGCTGTTGCATGCAATATAGCATGTTCCCAAGCTGATATGGGAAGTTTAGACCTCATTAACAATGGTCTAGCAATTAATTGCAATCTTTTGATAAGGGATTCAGCCAAGCCATTTTTCATATGTACATGGGGAACAGAATGTTCTACAGTAATCCCAATTGACATGCAGTAATCATCAAATGTATGTGATGAATACTCTTCAGCATTATCTAAACGTATTTTCTTTATCGGATGATCTAGAAATTGTGCTCGTAATTTCATTATTTGTGCAAGTAGTCTAGCGAAAGCTAGATTGCGAGTAGATAACAGGCATACGTGTGACCATCGCGTTGACGCGTCGATTAGTACCATAAAGTATTTGAAGGGTCCACACGGTGGATCTATTGGTCCATAAATATCACCCTGAATTCTTTCCAGAAAAGCTGGGGATTCAAATCCAACCTTTGTTGGAGATGGTCTGATTATTAACTTCCCTTGGGAGCAGGCAACATAAGCAAACTCATTCGGACTCAAAATATTTTTCTTTTTCAATGAGTGGCCATTTGAATTTTCAACAATTCACCTCAGCATTACATTGTCAGAATGTCCAAGTCGATTGTGCCAAGTTTTAAATGCGCTAGCAACCATTTGGTCTACTATGTGATATATTTCAACGGCACTAACTTTTAAATAATATAAGCCGGAAGAAAATGATGTCAATTTTTCTTTCACAATTCTTTTGCCATTCACAATCTGAGTTATCAAGAGACACTCATTTTGTACCTTATTCAATGTTTCAATGTGATACCCATTTTTTCGAATATCACTGAACCTCGGTAAATTTCTTCGAGCTTTGCTCGATAACAAGGCATTTTCAATTGCCATTTTTGTCCCTTTTGGGAGAAATACAATAGCTTTTCCTAATTCTTCAATCATTTTTTATGCACCGCTGATAGTAACAATAGTGGTCTTTCTCATATTCAGGTGCGAGAAATAACATTTATTTTTCAGAATGCTGTGAGTCATAGCACTTTTGATAAGACAGATGTTGTCATCGGCTCCAAAATATTTGGCATCCATATCTTTACAAGAAGGTAAAAATAATAAAAATCATGTATTAGTAACATAATCAAAATGGACTTATATTATAGGGGTAATACAAAAAGGGGGGGCAAAAAACATCAAAATAACAAAAGAGATACAACAATATTTTATCATTTAACATCATCTGCTATGTCAAGCAGATCATCGACATCCAGGTGCGTGATATTTTCATTCATCACATCGTCAAATGTGTCATCGTTGCAGCGTGATTTGTTTCGGGGGCAATTCTTTCCTGCATTTCTTTTGAGGCTTGATACAGTTCAGCCAAGTGACTGGCTGTGCGACAAACATGGGCCCAATGGCCTTTGGTTCCACACCGGGTGCATTCTTCGTCATTGTTTCTGTTCCTCCCGGTATTGAACCTCTGTTGAGGTCTGTACGGCCTTCATTCATTATAGCGCCGATTTGGCACATATCGGGGCCTGTTTTGATAATTATTATGATTGTATGCGTTTGTCCGGCCCCGCCTGCGGTTCTAATTTCGATCGCGATCAATTCGTTGATTCCTGACCTGCCCACGACCGCGCACCGGATTTGCCGGTTGTATTGCATTTGCCTCTTGAAATGGATTTGCACATGTCGGCCGAGATTCGTGATTTTTCAACAGCAATTCATTATTTTGTTCGGCCAGCAAAAGACAGGTGATCAGCTCATAATATTTCTGGAAACCTCTTTTGCGATACTGTTGCTGCAAAACCATGTTAGAGGCATGAAAAGTGGAGAAAGTTTTCTCCATCATATCATATTCAGATGTATTTTCTCCACAGTGGCGCAGCTGTGATGTTATTTTAAACATAACAGAATTATATTCTTGGACTGTTTTAAAGTCATGAAGCCGTAGGCTTTGTCATTCGCTTCTTGCCCTTGGCAATAATGTCATCCTCAAATGATCATATCTTTCTTTCAATCTCTCCCACAATTCAAGTGGGGATTCCAGCGTGACATACTGCATTTTCAGTGCCTCATCGATGTGATGGCACAAAAAGATCATGGCCTTTGCACGATCTTGGCTCGGGGAATATTTATTCTGGACAATGGTATTTTCAAGCCTATTGAAGCTAGATGCATTTTAACATCGCGAGCCCATGCCATATAATTTTGGCCAGAAACGAGGAGAGAGAGAAATTCATGTGTTGCAAGGTTAGACATAATAAACAGATAAAATATAAAATATTACCTTGCGGAAAATAAAATATATAATCGTGCTGATAACGTGTTGTAATATTATTATAGGATTAGTCAATAGAAATATTAATTATTTCTACCGATGACCACTATTTTATATTTTGTATATAATATATATATCAATATGTAAGTTGTGTGGGTGTGTGTGTATTAAATATATGGATATAAGTATATATATGGTATATATATGTATGTATGTATGATATGTATGAATATGTGATATGTGATGATGATTGGGAGCACAGACGAGACATAATGAGAGGAATAAATAGAATTTGATGTGTCTTATTTCATTCACTCATACCTATATTTATAGTGAATTTGAGATTCAACGAGTGGTAATGAAGCTGCCACAATAAATACATATACCACATAAGTCGACAGTAATAAAGTGCATCCATCTAGTGTACACGTAACAATAATGTGTATAACATTTTACAATTATTTCGCAATATATAAAAATCAATTTATATAACAATTTTGCTCTTATTATTATTATTATTATTATTATTATTATTAGGGAAAAAATCAATCTTGATCCCAATATAACCAAAATTTGTAGCAATATAAAAAATTCATCAATTTTAGTTATATTATAAACAATTTTAATCAATTTTGGGCTTACTGTTAAAAAACTAATGAAAATGGTTGACGTAGACGTAACGGGGTTGACGTGACAATCGACCTGAAAACTACACAGCTATGTACAATTATACACGACTATGTTTTGAGCCATGTTTAATTTTACACGGCCATATACTTTTCTATTTTGGTTTAAAATTTTATTTTTGGTTATATTATTATTTTTTTTTTAAAAAAAAGTATTTTGAATTTAGAATAGTTGATATAGTTAAATTGAAAAAAATAATAGTAATCATAATATAATTAATTCATAACAAATTTTCCTTACAATTACACAACTATTTTTTATATTATATTTAAAATTTATTTTACATTTAAATAAAATTTCAAACAATTATAGACACGTATAATTGTAAATAAATATAAAATTAATTTTTAATACTATAGTATACAAAAATAAAAAATAGTTGTGTAATTGAATATTTTTTTAAGAGAATTACTAGAATTTAAGATAAAATCTTTCCAAAAAGAACATAGTCAATAAATTTTTTATTTGAACTAAAATTGATACTATATTTTAATTATATTAATTTTTTTTCATTTTAACTATATCAACTATTCTAAATTCAAAATATTTTTTTTTAAAAAATATAACAAAAAAATAAAAATTTAGACCAAAACAGAAAAGTACCGGCCGTGTAGAATTGTAGATGGCTGTGTAAAAACATGACTGTTTATAATTGTACATTGAAATATATATATGACTGTGTAACAACATGACCGCATATAATTGTACATGTATCAGCTATTTCCATTAGTTTTTTAACGGTGGAACAAAAAATGATTAAAATTGTTTATAATGGGACTAAAATTGAGGAGGTTTTTATATTTAGACCAAAATTGATAAATTTTTATTATATTGGGACAAAAATTAATTCATTTCTCTTGTTATTATTATTGGGCCTTAATTAAATTATGTGAGTGGGCACAATTTAAATAACAAATTTGGCCCAAATTGAAGCCCAAGTATACTAACTCATTCATGATCGCAGGTACATTACATTATTACAGAGCTTTTTCCGATTGCGAAAATGGCGTCGTCTGTGTTGAGGAAGATCCTGAAAACCCTAAACCCTTCCGTCCTAGCCTCGACCGGCCGCGGCTTTAGCGCCGCCGTTGCAACCGGAAATGTGGAACCCGAGTCTGGTTCGTTCACTTTCTCCTCGGACGATCCTGTTCAATCGAAACCTGTGGCGAATTCGGAGAAGGATGACATGGTGTACATCAAAGGCTCCAAGACGGCGTCTTCATCTTCCTCCGTCACTATGCCGATGTCCTTCATGACTGGTTCGATCATTGGGAAGAAATTCTACAAGAAGGTGACTACAAGAGAAGCTGACGATGGAATTGGGTGGAACGTGATGCTGGATTACAGGACGCTGAAAACTCCTTCGAAGAGAAATCTTAGGTGTTATAATTTAGCTTTGGCTCAAGCCATCGCGGCTGAATGGGAATTTCAGGTGCGTCACTGTAGGCTTTGGTGTGGATTACAGATCAACTGATTTTGTTCCAATAACTGCTTAGTTTGCTGTACGTTCTGTGATGCTTTTGTTGTAGGATTTTTGAGTAAGTTGGTGAGCTGAAAATAGAGATGATAAGATCACATTTGATGCTACACAAACGCTCAATCTCATGGCTGACAAGTTATAACATTAAAATCACTACCACTATTAGAGAAAAAATTTAGAAATGATTGGCAGAATTCCTTGCTGTTGGTACATATGTTTGCATCTGTCAGGACAAATTGTGATCTGTATTATGCCAATTCAGATTTCTGTGGACTTTCCTGAATTTCTTCAAACAGAGCCATTTTTGAAAAATTAGATTAATTAAAGCTCTGTGTGAAAATTGAAGCCACTCCTAGCATGTGGAATTGGTCTTGATTTTATGCTGTAAAGAGGTTTATTCTTTTCAAAGGATCAGGGGTTTATTATTGATGTTCATACTCCCACCATCATTTAAATTGTGCTCAAACTTTTGGGCACAGGTTTTGATAGAGAGCAAGATCAAGAGAAAGTAGAGTTTTGGCCATTGTTTGTATATCGACGACGGGATAGGCTAAGACTTGCTGTTTGCGGGTTTAGATTTTATTTATTTATTTTTCTATTAAGATATTATATTAGTCTAAATCCGCAAAAAACAGGCCTTGGCCCATCCCCATCATCAATATACAAGCAATGGCCGAGACTCCACTTTCCCTCGATCTTGGTCTCTATCACTTTCCTTGTAGAGCATATAATTTTTTGGAACACTCTCATATATGCTTGGTTGCACATTGTTTGCACTACATGACTAGTTTATTCCCCTTTTGTAATGGGTCTGTGATGACTTACTTTAAGCTTCATTGTGGATATTGCTTAGAAATCAATTGTTACCTTGTGATAATTTATATTTCTTTTTGCAGGAATCGGATGGAATTAGACCCTTTACAATGCCTCTGATGAAGCTTGCTTGTACTGCTCTGGAAAGAGTGCCTGTCACTAGATCACAAATAATTGAACATTTAATGAGAAAATTTCATGATGATCTGGTTTTTTACCGTGCTCCAAGAGACAATGATATATCAAGGGATCTTCGAGGTATGGATATTACTATTTACAGCAATTTAATTCTATTGAGATGTCTGGTGGAGACATTTTTTATTTTATTTTTTCCCCATTTGAGGAGAGTTTTTTTTTTTTCAATTTATCTTCTGAGAGACTGTTGGCTACTACAAGAAACATATTCTTTCATTTTCAATAAATCTGTTTAGTACAAAATAAAAAATGCTTACTATCATCAAAAAATTTTGCTCAGAATCCATTTTATGATGGAGGTTGTGTTACCTGATAATTATATCTATATTAATTTGCAGAACTTCAAGTGAAAAAATTTACTCCATTACTTAAGTGGGTGGAATCAGAGTTTGGCTTTAGGCCTGTTGTCTTCAGTAGTTTATTTGGTGTCAAGCAAGAGGAGGGTCTGGTCAAGGCCATTGAGAGCCTTCTTAAGAAGACGGGTGACTTTGAACTGGCTGGAATCGACGCAATTGCTGCTGCAGCTCATTCATTAACTATTGCTATTGGATTATTCAAAGGCCAACTGAGCATTGAGCAGGCAATTGAGTTGATTAGGCTCGAGGAAGATTCACAAATTGGCCGATGGGGTTTGGTTGAAGGCGGACATGATATTGACATTGCTGATCTTAGAGTTCAAATTTCATCTGCTGTGGTGTTTCTTGGGCTTTCAAAGAAGCATTAGTCTGTGCATCATGCTCTTTAAGGTAACTTACCTCGGATTAAGAAGCATACTTTCTTGTCGTGCTTGGTCCAAGGTGTTTCATTCGAGTACTTTTAATTTAGCCTGTTTCCAAATGTTACACAATGTGTACTCTATAATAGCAAATAAATTCAATAAAAGAATCGAGCTCTGATGAAAGTACATAACCCAATGGTGGGTGATTTTGTAATGTAACAGTTTAATTGTTCTCTCACATATTCCGGTGCAGAGTGTAACTTCATAAGTCCTTTTGGTCTGTTTGCTACTGCTTTGAGACTCGAGCTTTTGTTCGGTGCAATTTCTTGTTTTGTTATCTCCGATCTCACATGCCTAGCCAAGATTATATATAATTCAAATCTGAAAGATATATGGTGCTCTACTTACACATGTTTATATACTACCACAAATGTATGCTGCTGCTTAATATACCTGCTTGTCAAGGCTCTTCTTTGCAGCACTGGATGCAGAGTGGTGGCTTTATTCTGATGTCACAATAACAGCAGGCTACTTCGCAGTCGCTGCTACAACCTAAGACACAATCGGTACCCCATGAATGATTCAAGTGACATTAGGATGAAAATTGATGATATTTCACTACATCACCTGTTACCGAAATATATCCAGAAGGTTGGAGAGTTTGATGATTTAGTCGGGGCGGTCGAGCATCCACTCTAACAAGATGAAACAGCAGCAGCAGCAGGACGAGAAACATGATACATTTTGGATGGCCTTGTGATCTTTCTCCAGACTCCATGGATCTTCTTCCTTCAGCTTGTATGTATGCTTATCTCGCCTCAATGGATCTGATCTGAGTTGCATATAAGCAGGCAGGTAATGATCATCCATAATCTGTGTAGAATTTAAGAATGGGGTTTGTTCTGTGCAAATGGAATAAGAATTTAAGTCATACATGGTGTGGGGAAATTTCTGAGAATATTCAAATTCTTGGTTCCACCACAATGTATGCATGTTTGCATATTTACAGAATTTTCTTTTCTACAGAAATCATTCAGTGGAACTGTGTGTAATCTAATGAATATATGAACATCCATTAATTAATTATTTAATTGTGAGTACGGATAAGAGAATCCACGGTTCTGATATTTACAAATATGCAAACATTTGATATCCGAATTACAAATATCCGAAATTGTGAATCATATTCGAACCGAAAATTACGATTAATCGAAAATATTTGTAATATTTGAAAATAATTCGAATTTAACCAAAATTAAAAAATAATTAAAATTTTAATTAAATAAAAATGTTTGTAAATAATTCAAATATCCGAATCAAAATCGAACTCTAATTTAACCAAAATCAAACGGAATATAATTATTAATACTCCCTCTGTCCTGTCATTTACTTTTTGCAAGTAGATTTTTAAATAATAATATTAGCAAAAAAGACGAAAAAATTTCTATTAGTATTGTGTAATATAAAAATAATGACATTTGTGTAATATAATATAAGTTTAAGTATTTATTACATTTGTGTAATATAATATAAGTTTAAAAGTATTTATTACGATAGATAGTACAATTATTAAATTAGAAAAAAAATGGAAAATGACAACCTCAATGGGACTGATTGAGTATAAAAATATAAATATATAAATATTAGGTAAAGCGCTTGGGCTGATAGCTGATGGTAGACCAGTTAACCGAACAAAAAAAATATTAAAATTCAAAACTGAACCGAACAAATATTAAATATGTATTTGTATTTGAATCGAATTTGCTCGATTAACCAAAAATTCAGTTCGGGTCAGGTTCAACTGTTCGACATTTTTACCCACCCAAAATACAGGTGCGATGGACATTACATGCCCGCTTATGGGTTCATTTATTTAATTAATTAATTTTAAAATCATAGTGTATATTATTACAAATCAACAAGTGCTCTGTGTATCAACTGAAATTATTACTATTATTGAAATTTTAATATACGGTGGGTTTGATCTGTTTAATTGCTTACCATAATAATATTTCTGACAGATTGGAAACCATTGCACGAATAGTAAGCGTTAGGTGGCACAGCTCATTTAATTAAATTCCCTTTATTTTAATTTTATTAATATTAATATTAATTATTATTTACTTGCATATTAATAATAATAATAATTAATAATAGTAATAATAATTGTAAAAATTGTGTGCCTGTCTGAATGCATTCCTCTCTTTCTATTTTTCTTCGTCTCCCTCCCAAACTTCGGTTATGTTCTGCCATTAATTCCTCCTTCATTCCTTCCTCCATTCCCTGCGGAGCATCTTCATTTTGCATCTTCTTCCATCGGAGACCAAAATCCCGCCGCTGTTGATGACGTCTGTAAGTTGTTTCTTCTTCATTCTTATTTCGTTTGATATATAAAGCTTCATGAGTTTTATTCTTTGATCCACCTTTGATTGTTTCGGAATTCATTGTAGATTAGGTTTCTCCGATTCGTTTATTTTTTTCACGCGCTGAATGGTTTAAATTATAGTTATGGATTGTTTAGCTTCGATGCGATTGTCAGGAGAGCAATTGTTAGGGCAATATCAGGATTATTAACTATTGGATTAGTTTTTTGTTGAATCCCCTCCATATTCCCTTTCAGGCAAACCTCCCTGATTCAAACACAAACGTGAAGTAAAACTAAAATTAATCATTCCTGGTTGCATGATTATTTTCAGAGGGATTGTTTTTTTGTTGAGGACTGAGATTTCTGGATTTATGTTGCAATGCTAATATAATTAGAGGGATTGGTTTTTGGTTGTTTCAATCCCTAGACTTGATAAATCTATGTGTTCTTATTGGAAATGAAAAGCTAGTCAGGGAGGGTTGGTTGATTTCTTATTATCCTTGTTCATAAGAAGACTCTCCTCACCTCACCTCACCTCACCTCATTTGCTAAGCATGCTCCCATACAATACAATTTGATTCTATATTGGTGAGGTTTGCAGCACGAGAAAGGTCGGCCACTGCCGAAATTTGGGGAGTGGGACGTGAACAATCCAGCCTCGGCTGATGGATTTTCGGTGATTTTTGCCAAGGCCAGGGATGAAAAGAAGGGTAAAACCTCGTCTGCGCCAGCAGCACCCTCATCTACCTATGATGAGTCTCAGTCTCGCCAGTCCTATGAGTATCCTCGCCGCAAGGTTTCCTTTTAATTCTCCATTCTCACCTACCATCCATTACACTCTTTAACACCATTATACTCCTTCACCAATGCTGCTACCTAAATCGGTGCAGAAAAAATGGCTATGCTGTTTCTGAAAAGCTGGAGGGGCATGGAATGGCACACAGCTCGGCACATTGTAGAGTTCTAAATGAGCCGGAACATCATCGGGTACTCGCAACTTTTAATTTTATTTATTTTTCTGCTAATGAATTGACTGGTTTCATCTACATCTATATTTTGGGGGAAATTATTGTGATGTGCAGCACTTGATATTTGTTTCAATAAAAATTCACATGCTTTGTTTGAAGTATATATTTTCTTGATTAGTTCCCTAGACTGTGATGAACACCACTATTTTCAAGCCAACCTATTTTTTTTTCTCTTTATTTAATCTAATTCACTCAGAGCCTTATTTTCAATTTAGGTTGAGATTGCCTTGCCAAAACCAGCTGTAGTTTATTGTATTTTATCTCAATTGAACCTATCTAAAGCAGCCATTGGAGGGTGTGTTCTGAGCTAACTTTGATCTTTCTTGCTCCTAAACTTCTCATGACTCAAGCTATTTATCAATTTCTTAATTGGTATTTTAGTCAATTCCACACCCAACCCACCATAATTTCTTCATTGATATTTCCTACTCCTAAATATTAATGAGAAACATTTTGGACGACCATTGTTAAATAACTAAATTAAAATGTGCGGCTACATGCAATTACATCCCTACATTAGCTCTTAGATTTCACAGGTTCTATGTCTGGTGAATTTACCAAAGCAAGCTTATTGCATCAGCAAATACTTGTTACAAAGTATTTATTTTTATATTTTCATTTGTCTCACACAAAATAAAAAAGTATTAATTTTTTTATTATATTAAAAGTAATCTATATAAAAATATCAAAATACTTCTAATTTTTTTTTAAGAAAAACAAAAATATCAAGACTAATTTATGGGTTTGATTAACAAAAAAAACAAATGTATACTAATTTGGACAAATGGAGTATTGATTTGTTTATTTTGGATCTAAACAGATTTTAGATTTTATATTCTAAGCTAAAAATGTATTCTGACGAAAAATAATATATATAATTTTATGATATCAATGAATGTAAAATAAGTTTTGAATGTTAAGATTTTTAAGAAAATAAATTCTAGTAGATTACACACTTAAAAAATAATAATAATAAAAAAAAGATAAAAATTCACCTTTTTTTTTTTTTTTTTTTTTTTTTTTTTAATAATATAACCTCACCCGCAATCCCTTACGTACTAAAAATTCACCCCTTTAATTGCAATCATTATGGTTATTTTTATTACACATATCTGAGGAGGACTTGAGGTGCAGTGGTGCACCAGCTTCAGCCTCAAATTTTATTTAATTTATAATATAAAACTATTTTTTTATAATATAATTATAACAATTTATCCCTCAAAACACCACTTTGTTATGTTTTTATTTTTATTTTTCATCCATTTCTACTATAACATAAAGAATCGAAAAATTCAAATCAATAAAAATATACTAGTGATGAGCCTGGGGTTGGTTCCGCCACTGCTATACAACAACACACAGGTAGTCCAAAGACTTCAGTCTAAAACATAAAAATGTCAAAAAATAGGGCTTTTCTGTTGTTGTACATGAATCTCTCTTTTCTCAAATCTTTCTCTTCTATGACCACCACCATCATCATCATCATCATCATCGCCACCTGAACTCAAGGATTCATCTTTCCTCACCTGCCCTCTCTTCTTCTTCTCCGGTGGCGGCCGTGGCCGCGGCCCGAGACTGCTCACATCGATCGTGGCACCATAAGCTTGCGAAGATTCGACGACTGCATCATAAGCCTTGCAAGAAAGCTCAAGCCCCTCATTCCGAGCCCTCAAATACATCTCATACGCAACCCTTGGTTTCCCATCGCTGGCAAGAGCTTCGATCAGCATCTCGTATGTAACCTCGTTCGGGGTTACATTCTCAACCTTCATTCGTTGGAACCATTCGTGCGCCGTGTTCCCCAAATTATGCTGCGCACATCGCGTGATTATAGCGTTAAACGTAACCACTGTTGGCTCAATCCCGACGACTCCCATTTCCCGGATAATAGAATCCACAGTGTCGAATCTCCCCTGGTCAGCGTAGATCGAAGCCATGATTGTGTAGGCGTATAGATTTGGCTCCACGCCTACTTTTATCATGTGCTTCCACACCCGAAGAGCCTCCTCGTAGAGCTTCCCTTTCTCGAGAGCGCTAAGAAGCGCTCCGTACGATATTATTGTAGGCTTCTCGTCGTGTTCGACCATTCTCTTGAATATCTGAACAGCAGCTGAAGTCTGCGAAGCCTTTGCGCAGGCGATGAGAACTGAATTCCATTCTCTGCTGCCCGGTTTGAGGCCTTTCTCTTCCATCTTGTCGAGCAGCCTCATGCCCCATCGCCAAATTCCTTTCTTCCGAGCTGCAGACAGCAGAATGTTGAAATGAGACACGACCAATTCGTACGACATATTGTTCGGTTTAGGTCCTATATCCAACAAGTCCTCGTAGATTTCTAAAGCTGCCCACCATTTCTTCGCCTTCCCCATCAGCCAAATGACATGGTTGCAAACCGATAAGCTGATTGATCCGGTCCCCATTTCTCTTATTCGAGAATACAACTCCTTAGCCACAACACAATGATCTTCTCGCGTGCAAGCCCAGATGAGGCGCTCGTATTCAGCGCGACCGTGGTGCAGCCCAGCCTTATCCATCTCGGTCAGCAGCTTCAACACTTTAGTTCTCAGGTTGTCCTTTGCTGCAAGCCAACGTCTCATCACTTGGTAGCAAATTCGAAAGGTGAAGTTTTCTAGCTTTGTGATCTCGTAGTTCCAGTCTTCTTCTTCTTCTTCTTCATCCTTTCCTATCTCACCTCTTTGGTGTTTGTCTTTTATCTCGACAAAGAATGTCAAAGCTCCGAATCCATCCTCGAGTCTACGATAAGCAAGTAGGACTATCGAGTATGAAGCAGGAGATGGGGACAATCCCTTGTTCGGCATCTCCACGAACAATTGGAGTGCCTTGACCTCTCGTCCTTGTTCTATGTAAATTCCCATCAAGGTGTTGATTGTGACAACGTTAGGACGCACCCCTTCCATGGCCATGTCACCTATGACTTCATCGACAAAATCGAAACATTCGGCTTGCTTCATTGCCCCTAAGAGACTGTTGTATATGAACAGGTTTGGCTGGATAGGAGAACCAGCCTCTTTGTTCTTTCTCTTAAGCCACTCAAAGATCGCCATTGCTGACTCTATCCTCTTGTCTCTGCCGAAACCTTTAATTATGGTAGAGTATACCTGAAGAGGAAGCTCTCCTTTCTCCTTGAGAACTTCTTCAACATCGTCTGCTGTTTTAGCCGAGCGCAAGCTCCAAGCCAGGGCTCGAACATTAATCCTTGTGCTGCGTCCATTTCGACCTTGTTTTTCAGCATCAATTCCATCGTCTTTCCCATCTTCATCATTTTCCCGATTCTCATTGAATTTGGAGCTTATCCCCAAACCTTCATCCAGATGAACCGGGGTCAATTTCATGCCATCTCTGTTCTGAGGAAATTCATGCTTGTTATCAGATCCTGCTTCGGCAACATTGTCGTCGAGGGTTGGTTGCTCCAATGCACAAGGAAGAGCAAAAAGGACGCCGCGGAATTCCTTATTTGGATAAGACAGAAGATTCAACTCACAGTGTCGGACTATGTGACTCGATAAACACTTATTTATGAAACCCTTACAGTATCCACAACAATACAGTACAACACCGCTGGATATATGGTGAATTCCTAATCGTTTCCTCTTCTCTCGCCAGTGAAGAGAACCGCTACAAGAGCTCAATTCTAAACTCATACGTGGTAATATACCAGAATTCCATTCACTCGATGACGGCCAGATAGTCAGTGTTTGCATATCGAGACTTCACAAACCAGAACCCGACTTGACCGACGAGTGTTCAAACCAAAATTGAAGAGGCACATCAGTTTTCTCTTCGAATAAACACACAGAATCTAGCCATCCAGATCACAGGAAACCGAAATATAGATATATATCAACGAACGCCAGAATCGCGTCCAATCGTAAGAAATGAGAACAGATAACTCTTACCTTGCGGAAAAGGACAAAGCATCAATCAAAGCTATACACGATTCGATGTGGTGGATACGCTCAGGTTCTGTAGTTTGTTGGAAGCAGCGACTGGCTGTGGAACATTTGACACCGAGGTGTAAAATGGCCGTTGATTTCCAGCCACGAAGATGAAAGACCGGCAATCGGAATACGGCGTCGTTTCCACCTCGGACGCTGCTGCTGTAGTAATTGGGCTGGGCCAATCGTTTTAATTTTAGGGTTTTTAAGTAAAAATAAACTTTTAAAACCTAACAAAAATAATTCCTTTAGAGTATATTTACTATTTTTTTAGTATAAATATAAAAAAATAAATATATTTGTAATTTTAGGGGTCTATAAATTGAGATTCTAAAATTTATTCGCAGTTTGAGCGCATTTAGGTTAAATACCGTTAAATAAGGACCGTTAAAGAGTTAGACGCAAAGTTTATGAAATCACGAGGGAATGTGACGCAGTTTTAGAAATATGGGGAATTGGTGCAATTTCATGAAACAACGGGTGGATTTTGTGTAATTTAAAAAAAAAAACAATAAATAATTGTTAAATTCCAATACAATAATCTTGTTATCATATTTTTTTTTATTTGTCACACAATAGTCCAATTTTTATAAATAATTATATACTTCTTTATTGTTGTTATAAAAATGTTACTATTTTTTACACCAATATATTTAAAAAAAAATTATTCATAATTTTTTATCAATTATTAATATAATATCGATATTTTTTTAAAATATTATATCCAACGTAAATAAAAGTGTAGTTCCGAAATGAAGGAATATTTCTTTTTCGTAAAAGTGTTCTCATTGTACTATTTAGTCTGTTTATACAAATGTGTTCATTATATTTAATAAAAAATTATACTTTTTTAAAGTTATACTTATTTATTCTGTTTATACAAGTGTGTTTATTATATTTAATAAAAAATTATAGTTTCTGAAAAGTTATACTTACAATCTTTTTAATCGGATAGACAACAAATTGTTACATTAATTTCACTTTAATTCAAATATTCATTCTAAAATTATGTTACAAAATTTTTTGACTCTCGATTAAATTTATGTACAATTTATTTATTTTTATTATCACTATTTTAACATATAATAATTAATTTGATACTAATTCTTTCTACTAACCTCCACTACTAGAATCTATTAGAAAAGTTTTGAAAAAACTGTTTCGAAATTTAAAAAGATTTCCGGACAAATTAACTTTGCTTCGATTTCGTATCGGAATCATATCCAAAGAGTAAAATTTATTGCCATTTTAGTGGACTAGAAAATCCGAGGCAATTTTAAATTGTCTCGAAATTTCTGAAACAATTAAAAATATATATTCAAAATCTTCTCTGACAACCTGCCTCTTCCGCCACTGAATAACACACTCAGTAATCTTCTGTCTAAAACACATTTTCAAGATTACTCACCACCAATTTTTTTTGTCTTCTTTGGTATTCCATGCAAAATTTGGAATGAAAAACCCCTCGTTAATTTCATTTTGCTTTAAATGGAATAGTGTATCTTTCAATGAATCTGGAGGTTTTGATCATCCCAAAATATCATATTTGTCCCTTGTAAGCCGTTAATGGATGAGACACATTTAATGAGTACAAATTCCACAGGTCTATTGCACAGTTGTACTGACTGTCTCTCTGCAATTTTTGTATGTCAGAAATAGAATGACTTACAGCATGAATGAGAAAGGTCTTTTGTTCATATGCAAAAATAAACAAATAACTTTTTTTTTCTTTCATTCACAAGAATAAATTTGGGAATATAAATACAAAAGCTTTAGAAATTTTGAGGCTAATTAATAAACTCGAAAATTTTCAAACTTGTTTTGGTAAACTGTTTTTTTAGTCCAATAACTGGACTCCTTTATCATTTTAGTCCCGTAAGTGGAACATGTCGCAAACTAGTTTCATAAGTGAAAAATTTTCGCTGTTTTAGTCCTTCGGCGCCGGAAATGTCCGCGTGGCTTGCCGGAGGTGACGTGTCCGTCAGGTGTCGCTGATCTAGCGGACACGTGGATTTTTTATTTTTATTTTTTGATTTTTTTAAAACTTATTTTTAATTTATTTTAAATTTTATTTGTATATTTTTTAATTTTTTTATTTGATCCGATTAAAAAAAATTTAAAAAATTAAAAAATTTTAAAAAAAAATCCGCGTGTCTGCCCGGTGTCGCTGACCTGGCGGGACACCTGGCGGACACGTCACCTCCGGCGAGCCACGCGGGCGTCTCCGGCGTCGGAGGACTAAAACGAAAATTTTTCATTTATGGGACTAGTTTGCGACAGACTCCACTTACAGGACTAAAATGATAAAGGGTCCAGTTACGGGACTAAAAAACAGTTTATCCAATTTTTTTAATTAAAAAATAATATATATATATACATAAAAAAGCTTTGAAATTTTTAAATTTTTCTAATTACTTAAATATATATATATAACAAAGCTTTGAAATTTTTGAAATTTTTAATTAATTAAATATATATAATATATATAATAAAAATTTGTAAATTTTGGAAAAAATTGTAAATTTTGGAAAAAATTTATTATTTAAAAAAAATAATATATGTAATAAAATTTTAAATTTTTCGAAGATTTTAAATTAATTAAATATAAATAATATATATAATAAAGATGTAGAAAATTTCAAGATAATTTTTTTAATTAAAAATAGAATATATATATATAATAAAGCTTTAAAATTTTTGAAGTTTTTTATTAATTAAATATAAAATATATAAATATAATAAAAATTCGGTAATTTTGAGACAATTTTTTAAAAATAGTATATATAATCAATTTCAAAATTTTTGAATCTTTTTAATTAATTAAATATAAATAATATATAATAAATGTTAGAAAATTTAAAGACAATTTTCTTAATTGAAAAAATAATATATATAATAAAATTTTGAAGTTTTTGAAGTTTTTTAATTAATTAATTATAAATAATATATATAATAAAGATTCAGAATTTTGAGATAATTTTTTTAATTAAAATAAATATATATAATAAAGCTTCAAAATTTTTGAAGTTTTTTAATTAATTAAATATAAATAATATATATAATAAAGTTTCAAAAATTTTAAGATAATTTTTTTAATTAATAAATATATATAAAATAAAACTTTGGAATTTTCAAAATTTTTTAATTAATTAAGTATAAATAATATGTATAATAAAATTTTGAAAATTTTGAGACAATTTTTGTAATTAAATCTAATATATATATATATTAAGCTTAAAAAATTTCTGAGTTTTTTTTTTAATTAAATCTAATATATATATATATATTAAGCTAATTAATGGACTCGGAAAATTTCTGAGTTTTTTTTTTATTAAAAAAATTATATAATAAAGTTTCAAAAATTTCAAGACAATTTTTTGCACTCAGAAAATTCTGAACCTTATAGCAATAGTCACGAAATGCTTTGGACATTATGTGTCTTTTAAATTAAATAATAAAAAAAAAATATAATCTCTGTTACGTATGAAATTTAGAATTAGGTTAAAAAGCCCAAGGTAAAAGAAGAATGGGCTTGGCATTAGAGTTGGTTGAACTGGCTCAAGGAAAATAGGTTTATTTCTAAGGAAAATACAGGACGGAAAGACCTCAGGTCGGAAGGTCTTCAGGTCGGTAGGTCCTCAAGACGGAAAGTCCTCAGGACGGAAAGACCTCAGGTCGGAAGGTCTTCAGGTCGGGAGGTCCTCAAGACGGAAAGTCCTCAGGACGGAAAGACCTCAGGTCGGAAGGTCTTCAGGTCGGGAGGTCTTCAAGACGGAAAGTCCTCAGGACGGAAAGACCTCAGGTCGGAAGGTCTTCAGGTCGGGAGGTCCTCAAGACGGAAAGTCCTCAGGACGGAAAGACCTCAGGTCGGAAGGTCTTCAGGTCGGGAGGTCCTCAAGACGGAAAGTCATCAGGACGGGAAGTCCGCAGGTCGGGAGGCCCTCAGGACGGAAAGTCCGCAGGTCGGGAGGCCCTCAGGACGGGAAGTCCGCAGGTCGGGAGGCCCTCAGGTCGGAAAGTCCGCAGGTCGAAAAGTCTTCAGGGCGGAAAGTCCTCAGGTTGGATAGGTCGGGAAGTTCTCAGGTCGGAACTCTGCGGCAGGACCAACAAATCGGATGGTTTGTTAGTCGGGATGTCTGTAGCTAATCCAAACAAGTCAGATGGTTTGCAAGTCGGGAGGATTGGCAGTCGGACCAATACGGTTGTAGATTGGCAGTCGGGCCAAAAGGGCGGAAGGTCTGTGGTCGGCTCAAAGAGTGAAATATAGGGATAATTTTGGTCTGCTAAGGACACGTGTCAGCAGGAGAAGGGTTGGAAGACGGTTGGGAAGGAGACGTTGTAACCGTTCGGGCGACGGTTTTCAGTACAGTTTCCCAGAGAATATTTAAGGGTTTGGATTATCATTTGGCAGGGTATCTTCAATCAACTTCAACAAAGCAAAGTCAGATTTGGGGATCACCACTTTAAATTTCAGTCTTTTATTTTCCAGTTTATTTTCTGTACCATACAGTGTTTAGAGATTCCTAATCTCAGGCACTAATTAATCAAGTTTAAGGATATTTTCTATATCTTTGAATTTTACTTTATTTTTGTTGAAAAATTACATCAACAAATTGGCGACCACAGTGGGAGCAAGACACAATTGCTCATTCCAATTCCGGCGATAATTTCATACGTCTTAGATCCGGCCGAATCATCGGAAGGGTCCATATGGCAGGTTCACAACCGCAATCATCTTCGGCACCGGCGGGAGAATCCGTTCCACCACCTATTGTGCCAAATGCCGGGGAAAATCCACAACCACCAACTGATTGGAGGTCTTATGTTCAACAAATGAACAACCAGCAAACTTTGGTTATGCAGAATATGTTGCGTGAGCAACAAACGAACATGTTGCGTGAACAACAAAATCTAATACAGAACATGTTGGATCAAGCACTGTCAAGGGTTAGTCTTCAACCCACTCAAACTCCACCAGGAGTATCACCATCCAGACTACAGGCAAATTTCGCAGGGCCATCATTCGTGGATAGTGCATTTCCAAGTGCCACAAATCCCAACCGAACGGATAGGGGAAAATATCCTCTGACTTTTCCTAACACTGTTCCGCTGGGACCAAGGGTTTCCAGTCCGCAGCCGAACAATACAAGGGAGGACAGGCCTGGAGGATATATACATGATCCTATTCATATTCCTGTGCAGGATCCTTTCCATGTTCCTGATCATCAACGCGTTCATGTAGATCCTGATGAGATCGCACATATATTAAGGGATCAGTTTGGGCTAACTCCTCAGATGGCTAACCGCCCTGCATATCAGAGACCTTTCCCAGAAAGGATCATTAATGAACACCCCCTCCCAAGGAATTATCGACCACCCGATTTTCATGCATTCTCAGGGGAGGACGGATCTTCCACCATAGAACATGTTGGTCGGTTCACAGCACAATTAGGAGAAGTTGGCAATAACCCTTTTTATAAGTTGCAGCTGTTTGGTTTATCTCTTACTAGAACAGCGTTTTCGTGGTTCGCAAGTCTGCCTCCTGGACAAATTCAGACGTGGGAAGGACTGGAGATGGCATTTCATGCCAGATTCTTCAATCCTTTACCAATTGTTTCTTTAACTGATTTACTAGAATTGAGACAGTATCCAGAAGAATCTGCTTCACAGTTTATAGAAAGGGTACGACTGATAAAAGGGCGATGTCCTACGGTAATCAGTGAGAAAGAGATGACCAATTTAGTGGTCCGGAATATGCATACTCGCTTAAGAAAGGCACTCACTGCACTGGATGTTGAGGATTTGGCAAGTCTTGCATCTAAGGCAGGGCGTTTAGAGTCTTTGTTCAGAGAGGAAGATCAGAATAACAGGCGTAATAGAGGCCAACATATGGCGAGTATGGGAACAGAAACATGTGACTTTGATTTTAATCAGTCAGAAGATATGGCAGCTGAAATCCTCTCTGGAAAACCTTATGTATGCCCCAAATTGAAGCCAGTACCAGGGTCTGAAGGAAAGGATCAACCGACGTTTGATAGTTCGAAAGCTGACGAAATCTTTGATATCCTGTTGACTGATGGCCAGATCCGTATTCCAAAGGGGCAAAGATTGGCCACTAAAGAAGAAATCAAAGGGAGACCATATTGTAAGTGGCATAATTCTTTCACACACAATACAAGTCAGTGTACTCATTTCAGGAAGGAAATTCAAAAGGCCATCAAGACAGGTCGGCTCAAATACATCACTCTAGGTGTAGACCAGCAACCGTTTCCGAAAGTAACAACGGCAATGGTTGACATCCAACCAAGTTCGGAAACAGGGAAAAGTTCGGCCAATAGTGGACAAACAGGGGAACGAACTCAGGCAAGCCCCGGAACAAAAAAAGGAAGTCAGCCAAACAGTGGCCGACCGGAAGAACGACTCAAAATTTGTGAAAAGCCAGTCGCTGAAAAATGGGACCGTCCAGACGGTTCTTTTAATGTGGAGGTGAAAGAAAAGGTTTTAGTGCGTGACCACCCGACCAGAAAAACAGGGTCAGTCGGGAACAATTGGGCTCGAAATAAAAAACCTTTACCAGTTGATATAGATCCTCGTTTCCCAGGTATGAATCGTACACAGATTCGCAATGCCAAACGCAGGTATGCTGCAAAGTATGGGAAACGAGTTCCTTCAGCAAAACAACTAACCGACGAACAAAAAGCAGCCGACCACTTGGCAGGAGATCAGTCCATTAGAGTCTTTACAGAACAAACAACCAACGAGCAGGGAGCAGCCATTCAATCTCCAAAAAGTCGGTCCAGTCGGGTCTGTTCAAGAAAGCAACCGAACGACGGATTAGGCGCTTCAGACTATACCAAAGGAAGTTCGTCGGGACAGGGGAAAGGTAAAGGAATATCAGATGAAATAATTAGAGGTTTTAGATGCCAACATTGTGAACGGATCAACATCAATCCATCTCCTGAGGAATTCCGTATAGAATCTTTGACGGTTCAATCTCGGAATAAGACAAAGGAAGAAGTTGTAACTACAGAGGAAAATTCGAGATCTGTTAAATCTCGTCTGGGGCCACGAATCCCTTGTCGAATGACAGAGATTAATCAGATGAGAGATGAACCGATGTGGGCGAGTCTGGTAGATGATACTATGGACGAACCTTTATGGGCATTCTTGGCAGATGATGAATTAGAGGAAACAGAGTGGGCAAAGACTTCAGATTCTGAGTCTCAGTCGGAGACACCTTCGATAGTGTTTCCTCCTATTCCAGAGGGTGCGATCTCCCATTTGAAACCTTTGTATGTTAATGCTCACATTTGCGGGAAACCAATCACAAAGGTTTTTGTGGATAATGGAGCAGTCTTTAATGTTATGCCATTGAAGACTCTCAAGAAGCTAGGGAAAGGAATTCATGATCTGTCTCCTGTGGAATTCGAAATGACAAGTTTTACAGGGCAGCCGACCAAGCCTGAAGGCATGATGGTTGCCACAATTGAAGTCGGACCAAAAAGATCTCCACTGTTTTCTTTATTGTGGACGCAGATACTACATACTCTCTCTTGCTGGGAAGAGACTGGATTCATGCTTCTCAATGTGTGCCATCAACACTGCACCAACAGTTAATGTTCTGGGAAGGAAATCAGGTCTTCAAAATGGAAGCAAATGACAACCCATTCGATGTATCAGAACAAGTTGAAGAGTCAGTGTTTTATTCCAGTCATTTGGCTCCGATGTCTCAGTTGTATATGGCCAGGGAATACCCAAACAAGGGTTATAAAGTCACTGGCCAGAACTCGATGTTCTATTAAAAGAACACCTTTATTGTATGGCTCATGATAAAGCCACACCTTTTCTCGTATAATTTGTTTGTTATGGGTGATACAAGTTTAGAAGTATGTAGTTCTCTTATTAATAAGTTCTATTTAAAGCAGTTATTACATAAAACAGAAAATAGTAAAGAGATTCTTGATGTTCACCTCCAAGAAGATGAACAATTTCGTTGGCCCGATTTATTAGAAAAAACAGAACCAACAGCTTCATCACAAGACCCATTATTGGAGTTTAATTTAGGAACCGAATTGGTTCCAAAAGTGATCAGGCTAAGTGGTTATTTGTCTAAAGAGCAACAGACAATGATGCTCGAAGTTATTAGAAACAACATTGATTGTTTAGCATGGGATTATTCAGAAATGCCTGGTTTGACAAGAAGTCTAATAGAGCATCGATTGCCTATCAAGGAAGGTTGCAAACCTTACAAACAACCTCCAAGGCGAATGAGCCCGGATCTGATGCCTCAAATCAAGGAAGAAATCCAAAAACTTCTCAAAGTGGGTTTCATTCAGCCTTGCCGTTATGCGGAGTGGCTGGCTAACATTGTGCCAGTGGTCAAGAAAAATGGTAAGATAAGGATATGCATCGATTTCAGGGATTTGAATCTAGCTACCCCTAAGGACGAATATGTGATGCCTATGGCCGACATGTTGATAGATGCAGCAGCAGGGCATAAAGTCCTTAGTTTGATGGATGGTTATGCAGGTTATAACCAAATTTTCTGGCAGAAGAAGACATTCCTAAGACAGCATTCAGGTGCCCAGGGGCTTTAGGTATTTATGAATGGACAGTCATGCCATTCGGGTTAAAGAATGCAGGGGCAACTTACCAAAGAGCCATGAATTCAATCTTTCATGATTTAATTGGCAAATCTATGGAAGTTTATATTGATGATGTTATTGTTAAATCCTCCAGTTTTAACGAACATTTGAGAAATCTTGAAGAGGCATTCGAAGAATGAAGAAGTACAAGTTGAAGATGAATCCAAACAAGTGTGCTTTTGGAATATCAGCTGGGAGCTTTTTAGGATTTTTAGTTCATGAGAGAGGAATTGAAATCGATGCCA